GACAGATAACCTTCCAGTTCTGTTCTCTCTCTCTCTCTCAGATGATGTCGAAGTTGGACAGCCCCCCTGCTGTCCCCCCTCGTCAGCCCACCTGTAAGCTCCTCCCCCCTCGTTACTCCTCATCGCTGTCGTCGTCGTCCCCCCCCGACAGCCCCCCCTCCCTGCCGCCTCGTGAGCCCCTCAGCTCTCCCCTGCACCTCCTCCCTCCCCCCCAGGGCCGCCCCTGCTGTGACCTGCTGCCTCAGGCCTTCTTCCCCGCCACCACCTCCTCCTCCCCTTCCATATGCTCCGCCCCCGCCGCCTCCTCCTCCTCACCCCCGCTCCCTCCCCCCACCCCTATAACCCCCACCTCCATCTCCAGGAAGATGCCTCTCCCCTCCCCACCCCTCTCCCTCCTCCCACTTGATGGGCCCCCGGTCCCACCCCGACATGGCGTCCCCAAACTCCCCCCCAAGACATACAAGAGGGAGTCTCTGAGCCACCCCCCCCTACTGGACATGCCCCCCGCACTGTGATTGGATAGTCTGGACTTCCTGGAGGGGACGTGGCAGCTGATTGGGCAGCCTGTGGAGGAGGCGGGGCTAGATGAGCTAACACTACAGCTGATAGGCTCAGAACAGACCAAATGATGGATTTAAAGACATAAAACATCTGATTGACCAATAAGAATGTTCTGAACCGATCCGGACTGAGACCAGATAAAATAAAGATCACGTGCCCTTATTCTGAAGACCCGATTATGGCCTCCAGCTGCAGAACGTCGGAGAACATTCGTCTGTTTGACTGTTCTGTGAGCTCAGACCTCATTGGACCAACTCGTGTTGAATAGGGACTCTTGACAGAGAGGATTGTGGGTAAGGATTGTAGTGCGCCACAGCTGAAGTGGACTCTTGGTCTGAGGTGTAGATGTGTCAGGAGCCTTCAGGTATCGGAACCAGAACCACAGAGGTACTGTATTGGTTCTGGTGGACCTGATGATTGATTGTTTATGATGTAAACTAACATGATGATTGCCTTCTTCAAAACAAGGGAATAAACATGTTTCTGCCGTCGAGCTGGACGGACACCCAGAACCTGTGTCTTACCTGGAAGCTGGTCCACTGCACCTTCCATCTTCACCTCACCCTGACCTCACCTGACCTCACTCGATCAATGACCTGACTTCACCTCACCTGACCAATGACCTCACCTGACCAATGACCTCACCTCACTTGACCTCACTTGACCAATGACCTCACCTCACTTGACCAATGACCTCACCTGACCAATGACCTCACCTCACTTGACCTCACCTGACCAATGACCTCACCTCACTTGACCAATGACCTCACCTCACTTGACCAATGACCTCACCTCACTTGACCTCACCTCACTTGACCTCACTTGACCAATGACCTCACCTGACCTCACTTGACCTCACCTGACCTCACTTGACCAATGACCTCACCTCACTTGACCTCACCTGACCAATGACCTCACCTGACCTCACTTGACCTCACCTGACCTCACTTGACCAATGATCTGACCTCACCTGACCAATGACCTCACCTCATCTCACCTGACCAATGACCTCACCTCACTTGACCTCACCTGACCAATGACCTCACCTCACTTGACCTCACCTGACCAATGACCTCACCTCACTTGACCTCACCTGACCAATGACCTCACCTCACTTGACCTCACCTGACCAATGACCTCACCTCACTTGACCTCACTTGACCTCACCTGACCAATGACCTCACCTCATCTCACCTGACCTCACTTGACCTCACCTCACCTGACCTCACTTGACCTCACCTGACCTCACTTGACCAATGATCTGACCTCACCTGACCAATGACCTGACTTCACCTCACCTGACCAATGACCTCACCTCATCTCACCTGACCAATGACCTCACCTCACCTGACCTCACTTGACCTCACCTGACCTCACTTGACCAATGATCTGACCTCACCTGACCAATGACCTGACTTCACCTGACCAATGACCTCACCTCATCTCACCTGACCAATGACCTCACCTCATCTCACCTGACCAATGACCTCACCTCACTTCACTTGTAATTGTTCACGCAGTGGGGAAAGGGCAGCAGGAAGTAGACCACAGCAGTAGACCTGCGATTCAACACAGATGTAAAGTGGTGGTTATAATACACAGAACGGTTATAGCTCAGCAGCTGACCCCAACACGACCGGGGACACCTGCGCTTCAGTCTGAAATGGCGACTTAAAGATTTATTATTTAAAACCTAACGGCGGCGGGGGGTCGCGATCCGCTGCACCACATTTTGACAACGCATTGAGGGAACTTTATGGTGAATTCATCAAACGCGAGCAGCGTCGTGGTCGCCCCCGTGGATACACAGGAAGTGTCCGTCTCGCAGCACGGGGTAAGAAGCTGAAAACAGTCTAAGCGTAGACGTGACCTGCTATTTTTCTGGTGGGGGATAAAACTCGTCAGCTGGTCTGACACCTCTGCGCACCGCTGACCCCCATCTACTACAGGTAGTACACGGACTGTGTAGAAGTACCTCATACAGCCACTCGAACCCTTTAAATTGACTTTCTTTGCGGACTCCGCCCTCCACCTCGCGTCTTCACTTCTCCGTTAACGTCACTTTACTCTTGAACTGAGGGACTGTGGTGAACCTACGCTGGGTTCAGGTTGTCCCTCTGCGGGGGGTGTGGCCAACGGTGGGAGGTCACCTTTCTTTGTCTCTCCAGGTTTCTAGTAATGTCTCAGAAACAAGTTTAATCAGACATCTTCCAACCCTAGAAGTGCTAACCGACAGTTAAACGATCCTTAATGGAAAAACGGGTAAACTAATAAACGCTGACGGTAAACACAGATGGACCTGAACCTGTGATCTTCTTGCTCTCAACATCGCTCCCACTGGTGAACAACAGTAAGGTCAGCAAAGACTGAGGAGAACAAACAGAGGGCTGGTTCACAAAACCAAGATGGCGGATTAAGCCGGGATGAATTAAGCCGTGACTCTGTTTCACGAAAGCAGCAGCACCTAAATTACCACGGCGTGTTTTTTTCAGTTATTCCATGTTGTCCTGTGCGTTTTGCATATTTTTCATCAGCCTGCATTAAAATAGCAGTTTGTGGTTATTAGGTTTCAAAACTGGAGAAGACTCGTGCACCAAACTTTGCACCAACGAGCAGGTTTACGTGGAAGGAAAGCACATGTAAAGAAAAATGATAAAGAAAAAGTAAAAGCGTGGCAGCCAGCAGCTGAATGTGTCACTGAAACTGTCATAGTGTTATATTGTGCCTTAAGGTGAGCGCCGGACACACACACCATGTGGGAGAGAAATATACAAGCCTATATCTTTTTCATTAGGTTTCATAACTGTGTAAAACTCACACTTCTTATTCCTGAAACAACGAGGAGAAGACGCCACAATGATTCTCTCCCTGGGATCATCTGCTGCAGCTCCGGAGAGGAAATTAATACATCGTGTCATAGTCGTGCTCACGCGGTGCACTGCAGCCATCGCTTCTGTTTCCTCAGCGCCTCTTTTTATCTCCACATGTCGGTCCAAGTCCTGCCGGGGTTTTTATTCTATGTTGTTAAATTCAGTTCAGACATCTGCCAGTTTGTAAAACACTTACCATCGCGCAGCAGGAAGTGTTCACCTGTGGACGTCCTTCAGGTAATACTGACCGGCTGTCAGACCTCAGAGATGCTACAGGATTTTCTTTGAGCACCACATCACTGACTTCTTAGCAAATTCAAATCAGCTTTATTGGCATGAATGTATAACAACAATGTGGCCAAAGCTACAAATAAATGACATAAGAACAATAGATTCATACATTTGATTAAATAAGTGACTTCTCTATTCTCCATATTGACTAATCAAGTAAACCGTCGTCACACAGAACTGACGGACGTCCAGCCGCTCTGCCAAGCCTACTAGAGATATACGCTTTAAAAGCATTTGTTGAAAATGTTGAATCACTGAAAATGCTTTAAGAAAGGTTTATTTGCACAATAAGAAAACAGGCTGACGTGAGAACAGAAGAACTTCGACCGGTGTCTGTGTGGGGGCCTCAGTTTTTATGGGCCCTTAATAGTCCTCGGGTAACACGGCAGGAGCTTTACAAAATGAAGATTAACCTTCGAGAACTCACGAGAACTGATGAATCATTCTCATCAGTAGAACTTTGGTTTGTCCTTGGCAGCCTCGCCTCTTGGTTTTTCTAAAAACCATCCCCCGTTTAGAGACCAGCACGGCCCCCCTCGGCCCACGAGAGGACTCCACCAGAGTTCTGCACCGTAAATCAGCAGCTGTGATGTCAAACAGGACGCCGGCGTGTTCCTTCCCTCCAGTTTATTTAAAGCTGTGCCAGAAGAAGTTATCAGAATGTAAAGAAAGACCAGTAACCTGCTGGAGAGCGAATTAGGGACAGGGTCTTTGCCGTCGGGACCGTCTTAGCTGCACCTCTTCTTCTGTTACAGGACTCGAGGATCTGTGCTGCTGAACGAGCTGATCTGGGGTTAGGGTTACTAACCCACATGAGCTGGCCGGTGCCAGAGGGACTAAGAACAGGCCCTTGTGTTAATACAGCCCCCTTAAAACCACTCCTGGTCCAACCTAAGCCACCTGGAAGACTTGGTTCTCTACGTGACCCGGCCAACACAGTGACATCATCAGCACAGGCTGGCCAATGAGAAACCTCCTTACACCGATGGGTTTCTCCAGAACCGCCTAATCCTCCTGTTGGAGTTCAAAGATGGACTCAGTCTTAGGGTACCGGGGTGATCCGTCAAACCTGATTTAACTGGAAATGAGATTTTTACCACAGAACGTTACCGTTTACACCGTGACTGTGAAACTGACCTCAGATCAGCCAGAAATACATTTATTAAAACATGAAACTCATGATTTAAATGTTACAGGAAATATTTTTATTATTTACTGAACATTAAGATTTTATATTTACATTTCCTGTGTTTGTTTGTGGAGGAAACAGCAGCCAGGAAGTGTTGAATCCAACTTTTATTTTGATGAAACAGGAAGTTAAAGAACATTTTGTCAGGTTGCTTCCTGTTCCACACATCAGGCCTCTTCATCTGGAGGAAGAGACGAAGAGTTTGTCTTCTCTGATTTTATCAAAACATTTAGGGACAACGACTTTTATTTTGAAGTTCCCCATTTCCTTCAGCTGTTGAGGGGGCGGGGCTTCTGCCTTCAGTCATTCTGATTGGACAAAGTGGTTCCAGACCAGCTGTCAGTCAGAGATTTAACCGCCCTGAGAGGTTGTGTCGTGTTCAGGGACAGTCTGGACCAGACTCTGGATCAGGTGGTTGGAGCTGGATTGGACTCTGGATCAGTTTCTGAATGCGGTCCAGGATGATCTGGTTGGAGCTGCAGCAGTCTTCAGGTCCGTAGGGGGCTGTGATGGTCAGGACCCCCGCCACCCTTAGCTCATCCCCCTCCTCCTCCACCGGGACCCGGTTCTTCTCCAGCCACCTCCGGACCCCTGCCTTCCTCCTCTTCAGCTCATCCGGGTCCAGCTTGCAGGTCCTAGGGGGGAGGAAGGAGGTCTGGAGACGCTCCGTGGTCTCCTCGTCAGCCTCCTGCAGGACCTCCACCTCCTCCACAGCGTGACCCATCACCACTTGCACTGAAGCCCCACCCTCCTCGTCTCTGAAGTTCACCAGGACCAGGCTGCAGGGGAGACAGCAACACAGAGTCAGACCAGATCCAGATCAGTGCTGGATCAGCATCACAGCCAGCCTCAGAGTCCAGCAGCAGGAAAACTAAAACCCTGTCCTGAAGCTTTTCCCAGAATCCTCTGAAACATCTGGATCAGTAAAGTCTTTGGTTCTGGTCTGATTCAGGATCAGGAGGGTTTTACACTGAATCCAGGACCTGGAGCGGTTTCTGTCCCAACCTGAGGCCAGGACTTCACATCTACTGATCCAGGTGTTCCAAAGAGGATTCTGGGAAAAGCTTCAGGACGGGAAGTGATGCTGAGCTGGGAGACACATTACCTTCACTTCCTGTCGACCCCTGACCTCAAATCGGGGCTCACCTGAATCTAACGATTCACCGGTCTCCTACATCCTGGCCCAATCCCAGTGTCCCCCCTCACAGACCCACAGACTCCGAGGAGTGTTCCCGGGAAGTCCGGCAGGGCTCAGGGCCGTCACGCTGTCAAACCGTCAGGTGCGCGAGGGCTCTGTCGTGGACATGTTGAGCCTCTTTAGACCCTTTTCATAAGTCCGCATTTCTGCAGACTTTGTCTGAGGGAACTGCCCACAGTTCATAGCGGTATGACGTGAAACACGGGGGTTACCGCGTCATAAGAGAAGAAGAAAACAGTAAACAAACAAGCATTGACACCAACGCAGAGGTCAAAATAGTTTCAGTTTTCTTAAGATGCTGCACAGAACACATGAAGTCAGAGGAAAGCAGTCACCTCATCACACACTGAGTTTATTCAACTATTTCCTTTAGTTTTTGCTTGATGAGGCTGTTTGACCAACAATAGTTTGATTAATTACAAATATATATATATATTGACATTTAGGCTTCCTCTCCTCCACTCTGCAGGGCGAGAGCCTGCAGGACTTTAAAACACCAAATAAAAAGTGTGCAACCCGTTTCAGCGTCGTCACGGTGATAAAACGCGGCCCCCTGTTTGCAGCATTTTCAGCCTCACGGCCTCTCAAACTCAGTCACTTTGCAAGTGACGTCAGTAAAGTCTGTGAGGGTTCAGGACTCACGGGGGACATTGGGATTGGGCCCCTGACTACATGACGGACGGAGCCTCGTGGAGCCGGACCGGTCTCCGAAACCGTTTATTAACCCTCCTCCCTGCAGAACCCTGACAGCTAGATCTAGATTGTCTGTCCTGGGCCCGCAGGACCAGAAGGACCCGGCTTTACCTGAAACAGCGAAGTTTCCCTTTAACCGCCGCACCGGAACTTTCCGGTTTCCTCAGAACCTTTAACTGAACCGTGTCATTCGGCTGAACTGCGCGTGCGTCGGTTACCTGGCGGACACCGGGTCCACGGTGAGCAGCCAGCCGCGGTGCTCCTCATCTTTTCCCGCCTTCACCTTCACCTGCTTGTTGACGTAGCGGATCCACTGCAGCGGACCCAGCAGGGTCCAGTCGCGCTGCATCGGTATCACCGGTAATAATCAGTCCACCACACAACCGCCGTCCTCCGACCGCTGCGCGAGCCTCAAACCCCTCCGGAGGAAACACGAGCCCGAGGTAAAGGTTCCGCTTCCGCCCAGCTGTGAGCCGCTGCTGCCCCCTGCAGGCGGACCCGAAACTCTGCAGCACCTCATTCATCACGTAAAACCTTTTTCTTTTTTAAGTTCTTCATTGCAAATCCAAAACGGAAAATAAAAAGGTTTACGATGAAAAAATGCACATAACATAAAAAAAAAGAAAGAAGTGGGCCGCATGGATATTATTATGGCAAAACTTTTTAGTTAGAAATAAATTAATTGATTTTCCAGTCCCTGTCTGGGGTCCAGGTCAATCAGGATCAGCTTTATTTGCCAGGTATGTGTGCACATATGAGGAATTTGACTCTGGATTGTACACTGCTCACGATGTGCTTACTCATACAAAAATACAATAATAAAGTCAGACACAGGCTGCAGTGTAGACTACACAAAAATACACACTATGAACAAAAACAATATACACAGATTGACACAATAGTGCAAAGGAGGCAGGAGTAAAATATTATCATTATTATATACATGTCGGAGCTGAATGTGACATACATGTATACAGTGCGATGAAGCATAGTGCAAAGGATGCTGGAATAAATAAGTATAAGTATTTTGTGCAGGAGTAATGACTTGAGGTAGGTGGATTGGTATACAGTATCTGATGTCTATGAAGATTCTCAGTCATCCAGGTCATAGTTATCCAACGAAGGTTGCCCTTCATTTTAACCTTCGTTGGATATACAGTATCTACAATATGAACAGCACTGAAATAGAGAATGGTGAATAAATAATAGGTGTTAGCCAGTAAACAGGTGGCTGATATAGACAGAGTTACTGGGTTATTGCACAGGAATTGTTCCTGACACTGTGAGTCAGGAATCAGCTGTTCATCAGAGTGATGGCTTGTGGGAAGAAACTGCTTCTGTGTCTGTTGGTTTTGGCGTACAGTGCTCTGTAGCGCCTCCCGGGGTGAGATGGATCTGCATCAGTCCTGAATGGAGGGCAGGTTGACACCGATTATTTTTTCTGCAGTCCTGACTGTCCGTTGTAGTCTGCTCCTGTCCTTTTTGGTGGCAGATCCAGACAGTGACGGAGGTGCAGAGGACAGACTGGATGATGGCTGTGTAGAACTGGATCAGCAGCTCCTTAGGCAGGTTGAGCTTCCTGAGCTGACGCAGGAACTACGTCCTCTGCTGGGCCTTCTTGATGATGGTGTCAGTGTTGGGCTCACACTTCAGGTCCTGGGATTTAGTGGATCCCAGAAACCTGAAGGATTCCACAGCAGACACAGGGCTGTTGAGTATGGTGATGGGGGCAGAGTGGGGGGGGGGCTCCTCCTGAAGTCCACGATCATCTCCAGTTTTGAGCGTGTTAAGCTCCAGGTTGTTCTGACCGCACCAGAGAGACAGCTGATCAACCTCCCTTCTGTAGACCGACTCGTCACCATCCCGGATGAGGCCGATGACCGTTGTGTCGTCAGTGAACTTCAGGAGTTGGCAGATGGGTCTCCTGAGGTGCAGTCGTTGGTGTAGAGGGAGAAGAGCAGCGGGAAGAGCACACACCCCTGGGGGGCGCCAGTGCTGATAGTCTGGGTGCTGGATGTGATGTTGCCCAGCCTCACCTGCTGACTCCTGTCAGTCAGGAAGTCTGTGATCCACTGACAGGTGGAGGCTGGCACAGTGAGCTGGGTGAGTTTGGTGCTGAGGATGTCCGGGATGATGGTGTTGAACGCCGAGCTGAAGTCCACGAACAGGATCCTTGCATATGTCCCCGGAGAGTCGAGGCGTTGCAGGATGTGATGCAATCCTAAGTTGACTGCATCATCCACTGACCTGTTAGCCCTGTAGGCAAACTGCAGGGGGTCCAGCAGGGGGCCTGTAATGTCCTTCAGGTGGGCCAACACCAGTCTTTAAAAGGACTTCATGACTACAGATGTCAGGGCGACAGGCCTGTAGTCATTTAGTCCAGAGATGGATGTTTTTTTTGGGACCGGGATGAGTGTGAAGCAGGAGGAAACTTCACACAGCTCCAGTGATCTGTTGAAGATCAGTGTGAAGATGGGGGCCAGCTGGTCTGCACAGATTTTCAGGCAGGATGGAGACACAGCGTAGGTCCAGGAGCCTTCCTGATCTTCTGCCTCTGGAGTCCTCTTCACAGATCATGAGTGCAGGTGAGGGATCAGAGAGAGGGGCAGACTTTGAAAGCTCTGAGAGACATTGGATCTAGATCTGTAATGAAATAATCTACAGCACTGCCAAGAGCTGAGCTATAAGTGCAGCGACCCAGAGTCCCCTTTTAGCCTGCCATTGACTATGTACAGACCCAGAGTACGGCAGAGCTGTAAAAGCTGCATACTGCTTGTATTAGGAAACTCTTCCTCTCTCTGTAGGTCACTTTACTTCCTGTTAGTGATCATACTGATCAGCATGGCATATTGCCGTATTTTAGTGAAACAAATCCACCATCAGACTGTGGGAGAACAAAGTCCTGGATCTGAAACAAACACAGGTTCACATGGAAATATGGACGCTAAGCTCCTTTGAATTCTTTACACAGTCACATGTTTAAAGTGACAACAGAGCTCTGACAGAAGACACGCCCACTGGCTATAAGCCCTGCCCCCACAGTGATGCCATCACTTGGCCCAGCAGCAGCAGCAGCTCAGACTGAGAGAGACTGAGGAACCCAACCCACTAGAAGAAGAAGAAGAAGATGGCCGACTCGACCAGCAGCAGCTGCTCAGACTCTTCATCATCATCCAACTCCTCCTCTTCCTCACTCAGAGACCTCTCACACTCAGGTACGATTCACCTGTTGTACATTGACTTTAAAGTGGGAAGGTCATGTGTCAGTCAAGAGTTCCAGAACAGCTACTAAATGGACCTTTAGGTGGGCCATAATCCCAAAGATGTTCTGTTGTCATGGAGACAGCTGAGCAAACACACATTGTGTTGCTATTTTGACAGCTGATAGACGAGCTCACAGGGCACGCTTCCCGGTCGAGTCCTGAACCACTAGATTATCAGGACGTCCTGCTAACATGCTAACTATTTCTACAGTTAGTTGTCCTGCAGGTGTTGTAGCCTGTTAGCTGGCGTGCTAATGAAGCTAAGCTCACACATAAAGCTGTGCTGTCCTGCAGTTGCTGACCTGCTCAGCTGATTCATTGTGTTTCTGGAACAAGCTGCTTACGGCTGCTGAGGACTTTAATCCCTCTGTGACATTCCTGAGAGTTAAATATGTGAGTTCTGCTCTGCTGACCTGTTCGCTACAAGTCCTTATTATGATGATGGTGAACCTTCACTGACTGACCTGTTCACTACAAGTCCTTATTGTGATGATGGTGAACCTTCACTGACTGACCTGTTCGCTACAAGTCCTTAACGTGATGATGGTGAACCTTCACTGACTGACCTGTTCGCTACAAGTCCTTATTGTGATGATGGTGAACCTTCACTGACTGACCTGTTCGCTACAAGTCCTTATTGTGATGATGGTGAACCTTCACTGACTGACCTGTTCACTACAAGTCCTTATTGTGATGATGGTGAACCTTCACTGACTGACCTGTTCGCTACAAGTCCTTATTGTGATGATGGTGAACCTTCACTGACTGACCTGTTCGCTACAAGTCCTTATTGTGATGATGGTGAACCTTCACTGACTGACCTGTTCGCTACAAGTCCTTATTGTGATGATGGTGAACCTTCACTGACTGACCTGTTCGCTACAAGTCCTTATTGTGATGATGGTGAACCTTCACTGACTGACCTGTTCGCTACAAGTCCTTATTGTGATGATGGTGAACCTTCACTGACTGACCTGTTCGCTACAAGTCCTTAACGTGATGATGGTGAACCTTCACTGACTGACCTGTTCGCTACAAGTCCTTAACGTGATGATGGTGAACCTTCACTGACTGACCTGTTCGCTACAAGTCCTTAACGTGATGATGGTGAACCTTCACTGACTGACCTGTTCGCTACAAGTCCTTAACGTGATGATGGTGAACCTTCACTGACTGACCTGTTCGCTACAAGTCCTTAACGTGATGATGGTGAACCTTCACTGACTGACCTGTTCGCTACAAGTCCTTAACGTGATGATGGTGAACCTTCACTGACTGACCTGTTCACTACAAGTCCTTATTATGATGATGGTGAACCTTCACTGACTGACCTGTTCACTACAAGCCCTTATTGTGATGATGGTGAACCTTCACTGACTGACCTGTTCACTACAAGTCCTTAACGTGATGATGGTGAACCTTCACTGACAGACCTGTTAACTAGAAGTCCTTAACGTGATGATGGTGAACCTTCACTGACTGACCTGTTCGCTACAAGTCCTTAACGTGATGATGGTGAACCTTCACTGACTGACCTGTTCGCTACAAGTCCTTAACGTGATGATGGTGAACCTTCACTGACTGACCTGTTCGCTACAAGTCCTTATTATGATGATGGTGAACCTTCACTGACTGACCTGTTCACTACAAGTCCTTATTGTGATGATGGTGAACCTTCACTGACTGACCTGTTCACTACAAGTCCTTAACGTGATGATGGTGAACCTTCACTGACAGACCTGTTAACTAGAAGTCCTTAACGTGATGAAGGTGAACCTTCACTGACTGACCTGTTCACTACAAGTCCTTAACGTGATGATGGTGAACCTTCACTGACTGACCTGTTAACTAGAAGTCCTTAACGTGATGAAGGTGAACCTTCACTGACTGACCTGTTCACTACAAGTCCTTAACGTGATGATGGTGAACCTTCACTGACTGACCTGTTAACTAGAAGTCCTTAACGTGATGAAGGTGAACCTTCACTGACTGACCTGTTCACTACAAGTCCTTAACGTGATGATGGTGAACCTTCACTGACTGACCTGTTAACTAGAAGTCCTTAACGTGATGAAGGTGAACCTTCACTGACTGACCTGTTCACTACAAGTCCTTAACGTGATGATGGTGACCCTTCACTGACTGACCTGTTCACTACAAGTTCTTAACGTGATGATGGTGAACCTTCACTGACTGACCTGTTCACTACAAGTCTTTAAAGTGATGATGGCTGGCGGCATGTTTTAAAGGCTGGTGGCGTGTTACTGACAGCATGTTACTGATGGCATGTTATACAGGCTGGCGGCATGTTTTCCAGGCTGGTGGCGTGTTTTCCAGGCTGGCGGCATAGTAAATTATAAAAACACATTAAAGCTGTGGTCATTAATTTCATTTTGTTCTATTTTTTGAAATTCTCTTTACATCCTGACAGCAATCAACAAATCCGTCTAAATCTGGTTCTCTTGTCAGTTTTGCGAGTGGAAACAGGTGGAGGTGACTTTGGATCAAGTATCTTTAAATTACCGTTTCAATAATCGAGTCTACTGCGATTACCCATCAGCCTCTGCACAGCGATTACCTATCAGCCACTGTGACATGTTCATGTCTCTATGTGATCTCTGCCGCCCCACCCAGCCTTACAGCTGACTCAATGGAAAGACCCGAGGAAATCGGCGGTGGCGTTCGGCTTGTCGATGCTGGTTCTTGTCTCCTTGGCAACGCTTTCTGTCATCAGCGTGGTGTCCTACATGCTGCTGACTCTACTCTGTGTCACCATCACTTTCAGGTGAGGGGGGGGGGTCACCTGATCTGTGAGTGGATTAATGTTTGGATTAATGTTTGGATTAATGTTTAGATTAATGTTTGGATTAATGGTTGGATTTATGAGTGGATTAATGGTTGGATTGATGTTTAGATTAATGAGTGGATTAATGTTTAGATTAATGAGTGGATTAATGTTTGGATTAATAAATGAATTAATGAGTGGATTAATGGTTGGATTTATGAGTGGATTAATGGTTGGATTAATGTTTGGATTAATGAGTGGATTAATGTTTAGATTAATGAGTGGATTAATGTTTGGATTAATGAGTGGATTAATGTTTGGATAAATAAGTGGATTAATAAATGGATTAATGAGTGGATTAATGGTTGGATTTATGAGTGGATTAATGGTTGGATTTATGAGTGGATTAATGTTTGGATTAATGAGTGGATTAATGTTTGGATTAATAAATGGATTAATGAGTGGATTAATGGTTGGATTTATGAGTGGATTAATGGTTGTATTTATGAGTGGATTAATGTTTAGATTAATGAGTGGATTAATGTTTAGATTAATGAGTGGATTAATGTTTGGATTAATGTTTGGATTAATAAATGGATTAATGAGTGGATTAATGTTTGGATTAATGAGTGGATTAATGAGTGGATTAATAAATGGATTAATGAGTGGATTAATGGTTGGATTTATGAGTGGATTAATGGTTGGATTTATGAGTGGATTAATGGTTGGATTTATGATTGGATTAATGGTTGGATTTATGAGTGGATTTATGAGTGGATTAATGTTTAGATTAATGAGTGGATTAATGTTTGGATTAATGTTTGGATTAATAAATGGATTAATGAGTGGATTAATGGTTGGATTTATGAGTGGATCAATGGTTGGATTTATGAGTGGATTAATGAGTGGATTAACATTTAGATTAATATTTGGATTTATGAGTGGATTAATGTTTGGATTAATGTTTAGATTAATGAGTGGATTAATGTTTGGATCAATGAGTGGATTAATGTTTGGATTAATGAGTGGATTAATTTTTGGATTAATGTTTAGATTAATGAGTGGATTAATGTTTAGATCAATGCTTGATTAATGAGTGGATTAATGAGTGAATTAATGTTTGGATTAATGAGTGGATTAATTTATGGATTAATGCGCTGATTAATGAGTGGATTAATGTTTGGATTAATGAGTGGATTAATGTTTAGATTAATAAGTGGATTAATGTTTGGATTAATGAGTGGATTAATGGTTGGATTTATGAGTGTATTAATGTTTGGATTAATGAGTGTATTAATGAGTGGATTAATGTTTGGATTAATGTTTGGATTAATGAGTGGATTAATGTTTGGATTAATGTTTAGATTAATAAGTGGATTAATGTTTGGATAATTGCGTTGAATAATGAGTGGATTAATGTTTGGATTAATGAGTTGATTAATGTTTGGATTAATGCTTGGATTAATTCTTGGATTAATGAGTGGATTAATGTTTGGATTAATGTTTGGATTAATGAGTGGATTAATTTATGGATTAATGCGCTGATTAATGAGTGGATTAATGCTTGGATTAATGAGTGGATTAATGCGCTGATTAATGAGTGGATTAATGCTTGGATTAATGAGTGGATTAATGTTTGGATTAATGAGTGGATTAATGTTTAGATTAATGAGTGGATTAATGTTTGGATTAATGAGTGGATTAATGGTTGGATTTATGAGTGGATTAATGGTTGGATTTATGAGTGGATTATTGAGTGGATTAATGTTTGGATTAATGAGTGGATTAATGTTTGGATTAATGAGTGGATTAATGTTTGGATTAATGAGTGGATTAATGTTTGGATTAATGCTTGGATATTAATGTTTGGATTAATGAATGGATTAATGAGTGGATTAATGAGTGGATTAATGTTTGGATTAATGAGTGGATTAATGAGTGGATTAATGTTTGGATTAATGAGTGGGTTAACGTTTAGATTAATGTTTGGATTAATGGTTGGATTTATGAGTGGATTAATGTTTGGATTAAGGTTTGGATTAATATTTAGATTAATGAGTGTATTAATGTTTGGATTAAAAAATGAATTAATGAGTGGATTAATGGATGGATTTATGAGTTGATTAATGGTTGGATTTATGAGTGGATTATTGAGTGGATTAATGTTTGGATTAATGAGTGGATTAATGTTTAGATTAATGAGTGGATTAATGTTTGGATTAATAAATGGATTAATGAGTGGATTAATGGTTGGATTTATGAGTGGATTTATGAGTGGATTAATGAGTGGATTAATGTTTGGATTAATGCTTGGATTAATGAGTGGATTAATGTTTGGATTAATGAGTAGATTAATGTTTGGTTTAATGTTTAGATTAATGAGTGGATTAATGTTTGGATAATTGCGTTGAATAATGAGTGGATTAATGTTTGGATTAATGAGTGGATTAATGTTTGTATTAATGTTTAGGTTAATGAGTGGATTAATGTTTAGATTAATGAGTGGATTAATGTTTGGATTAATAAATGGATTAATGAGTGGATTAATGTTTGGATTAATAAATGGATTAATGAGTGGATTAATGGTTGGATTTATGAGTGGATTTATGAGTGTATTAATGTTTGGATTAATGCTTGGATTAATGAGTGGATTAATGTTTGGATTAATGAGTAGATTAATGTTTGGATTAATGTTTAGATTAATGAGTGGATTAATGTTTCGATTAATGTTTGGAATAATGCTTGGATATTAATGAGTGGATTAATGAGTGGATTAATGTTTAGATTAATGTTTGGATTAATGAGTGGATTAATGAGTGGATTAATGTTTGGATTAATGTTTGGATTAATGTTTGGAATAATGCTTGGATATTAATGTTTGGATTAATGAGTGGATTAATGTTTAGATTAATGAGTGGATTAATGTTTGGATTAATAAATGGATTAATGAGTGGATTAATGGTTGGATTTATGAGTGGATTAATGAGTGGATTAATGTTTGGATTAATGAGTGGATTAATGTTTGGATTAATGCTTGGATTAATGAGTGGATTAATGTTTGGATTAATGAGTGGATTAATGAGTGGATTAATAAATGGATTAATGTTTAGATTAATGAGTGGATTAATGTTTGGATAATTGCGTTGAATAATGAGTGGATTAATGTTTGAATTAATGAGTGGATTAATGTTTGGATTAATGTTTGGATTAATGTTTAGATTAATGAGTGGATTAATGTTTGGATAATTGCGTTGAATAATGAGTGGATTAATGTTTAGATTAATGAGTGGATTAATGTTTAGATTTATGAGTGGATTAATGTTTACATCAATGCTTGATTAATGAATGGATTAATGAGTGGATTAATGTTTGGATTAATGAGTGGATTAATGTTTGGATTAATGAGTGGATTAATGTTTAGATTAATGAGTTGATTAATGTTTGGATTAATGCGTGGAATAATGAGTGGATTAATGTTTGGGTTAATGAGTGGATTAATGTTTAGATTTATGAATAGATTAATGCTTGGACTAATGAGTGGATTAATGTTTGGATTAATGAGTGTGTTAATGTTTAGATTAATGAGTGGATTAATGAGTGGATTAATTTTTAGATTAATGAGTGGATTAATGTTTAGATTAATGTTTGGATTAATGAGTGGATTAATGCTTGGATTTATGAGTGGATTAATGCTTGGATTTATGAGTGGATTAATGGTTGGATTTATGAGTGGATTAATTTTTGGATTAATGCTTGGATATTAATGTTTGGATTAATGAGTGGATTAATGTTTAGATTAATGAGTGGATTAATGAGTGGATTAATGTTTGAATTAATGTTTGGATTAATGTTTAGATTAATGAGTGGATTAATGTTTAGATTAATGAGTGGATTAATGAGTGGATTAATGTTTCGATTAATGTTCCGATTAATGTTTGGAATAATGCTTGGAATAATGCTTGGATATTAATGAGTGGATTAATGAGTGGATTAATGTTTAGATTAATGAGTGGATTAATGTTTAGATTAATGTTTGGATTAATGAGTGGATTAATGTTTGGATTAATGTTTCGATTAATGTTTGGAATAATGCTTGGATATTAATGTTTGGATTAATGAGTGGATTAATGTTTAGATTAATGAGTGGATTAATGTTTAGATTAATGAGTGGATTAATGTTTGGATTAATGTTTGGATTCATGTTTAGATTAATGAGTGGATTAATGTTTGGATTAATGAGTGGATTAATGTATGTATTAATGGTTTATCATTTTTACACTGAGACAAACCGACACTTTCTGTGTTCGTATGAACAGAAACACTTAGGAACTTCACACGTCTCAGTGTCTGTCAGGAAACTTAAAACATCGAAACAGGAAGTGGTGTTATCCTAAACAGCCGTCTGCTTCTTGTCTGTAGGGTTTATAAATCAGTGATCCATGCTGTCCAGAAATCAGACGAAGGTCATCCATTCAGGTAACTTGCACACACGCACCTTTTTTTATGGGGGGGTTTAAAGTTCAGTCTCTCAGGTGATTCATTCAGTCAAGTTTTAAAAATAAAACATTGCAAACAAAAACAGACTTCAGGTGGTGAAGCGTGTCCTTGACAGGTGTAGCATGTCTAAACTACATATGAATTGAAGCGTGTCCTCGGCAGGTGAAGCGTGTCCTCGGCAGGTGAAGCGTGTCCTCGGCAGGTGAAAAATGTCTTCAGAAGGTGAAGCGTGTCTTCAGAAGGTGAAGCGTGTCCTCGGCAGGTGAAGCGTGTCCTCGGCAGGTGAAAAATGTCTTCAGAAGGTGAAGCGTGTCCTCGGCAGGTGAAGCGTGTCATCGGCAGGTGAAAAATGTCTTCAGAAGGTGAAGCGTGTCCTCAGCAGGTGAAGCGCGTCTTCAGAAGGTAAAGCGTGTCTTCGGCATGTGAAGCGTGTCTTTGGCAGGTGAAGCGCGTCTTCAGAAGGTAAAGCGTGTCATCGGCATGTGAAGCGTGTCTTTGGCAGGTGAAGCGTGTCTTCAGAAGGTGAAGCGCGTCTTTGGCAGGTGAAGCGTGTCCTCGGCAGGTGAAGCGTGTCTTTGGCAGGTGAAGCGTGTCTTCAGAAGGTGAAGCGCGTCTTTGGCAGGTGAAGCGTGTCCTCGGCAGGTGAAGCGTGTCTTTGGCAGGTGAAGCGTGTCTTCAGAAGGTGAAGCGTGTCCTCGGCAGGTGAAGCGTGTCTTTGGCAGGTGAAAAATGTCTTTGGCAGGTGAAGCGTGTCCTCAGCAGGTGAAGCGTGTCATCGGCAGGTGAAGCGTGTCCTCGGCAGGTGAAGCGTGTCATCGGCAGGTGAAGCGTGTCATCGGCAGGTGAAGCGTGTCTTTGGCAGGTGAAGCGTGTCTTCAGAAGGTGAAGCGTGTCATCGGCAGGTGAAGCGTGTCTTTGGCAGGTGAAGCGTGTCTTCGGAAGGTGAAGCGTGTCCTCGGCAGGTGAAGCGCGTCTTTGGCAGGTGAAGCGTGTCTTCAGAAGGTGAAGCGTGTCCTCGGCAGGTGAAGCGTGTCCTTGTGTCCTCACAGAGCAGCTGCAGTAATCAATAGATTCTGGTTCTGGTGATTCATTAGCTGTAAACAAAGTTCTGTCCTGTGGTCTTCCATCATTTTACACAGTTCACTTTAAGCAGCAGGTCCAGTTTGTTCACACAGACCCTGCTGGTCCTGGTCCTGGTCCTGGTAGTAGTCCTGGTCTCCAGCACAGGGAAAGCTTTACGAGCTCTAACGCGCAGACAGCACTCTGAAACCCTGTCCTCTGAAACCTCTGTCCCCTGTCAGGTCCCTGTTGGAAAGGGACATCTCGGTGTCCTCGGAGGTGGTCCGGCAGCTGGCTGATCAGTCTCTGATCTACCTGAACTGGTTCAGCAGTCAGACCAGGAGGCTGCTGCTGGTTGAAGACCTGGTGGACTCTCTGAAGGTGAGATTTCCACAGAACATGTTGGCAGGCTGGCTAATGCTACTTCAGGTAGACCCAGGGTCTGCTTCAGACCCGGGGTCTGCTGAGGTGCAGCTGCTTGCCTTCAGAGCGCTGCATTGTGGTTAAAAGAGGAGTTACACGGGACGTCCTCCTTTAACTACTGAACCATGCCTCAGAGGGCAGCTGGAGGAAACTTATCCAGGTACATCAGCTGTTCTGTGGTCTCCAGTCCTACCTGGGGGGGCGGTGTTGAGGGACAGGACCCAGGAGAGACTGCTCCATGATGTCCTGCTGTCCTCGCTGATAAGGCTGCTAAGTTAATGAAGCTGTTGTGGTGGTGGAGAGCCTGGTCAGCAGACAGGAAACCCATTGGTCAGTCCTCTGTGTTGTGCTGACATCACAGCTGGACAGAGAGGTCAACCAATAAGAATCCACAATATCTGGAGTGATGCCTTTGATAAAAACACATTTATTCGTTTATCGCAGCCTGAATGTAAAAGCAATAAGAGATTAATCCACTGTCTGAAGATGAAACGGTTAAACAGCAGTGAGTTCATAAAACTGGTCCAGAAACGTCTGACTGACCTTTGAAAACTTCAACAGCTGTTGGTGTTGTTATTATTAGGGGTCCAAGCCAGAGTGCGGCTGGGAACCCACGATTGCAAGGCAAGAACGATACGGTTCCCAGCCCCGCTGGTACTGGGATCTGGCGTTGCCTTCATTAGTAAAGATTTTAACCTGAAAACCGTGAACCAAGACTTCTGTGCTGGTTTCACATTTATGTCCTGTGTTAAAGGCAGACTGCCTCATCCATCCATGAGGACCTTTTGGCCGATCTGCTAAGAAGGGCAGGTGCGGTGGACTCATGAGGGCTGATGCGTATGCTGGGGAAAGGAAGAACATGTTTATAAAATATAACACACCATCACAGCAACCTCTCAGCTTCCATCGTGGTTGAAATGCAGAACTACTGAGAGAAACCTGTGGAAAAGGAAGATCATGCAGTTCGCAAGTTCACAAAAAAACCAGAAGTAAAAACAACATATAGAACACTTGTATGACCAAATTCTTCTTGTATTGTGAGCCAACGCTGCCGTGACTAAAAAGTGGCCTTAGCTTTTGTTTGCACAGAATATCCATGTACTTTAAAGAGGTGGTATTCTGCTTTTTGCCTTTTCCCCTCTGCTTTATTGAGTTCTCTCTTTTTTGTGCATGTAACAGGTTTGCAAAGTGAAAAAGCCCAAAGTCCAGTCCAAAGGGAGTTCCCATCTCCCACAGAAAACTCTGCTCTGAACTGAAAACAGCTGGTTTGTAGTCCAGCCCTTCACTTCCTTTACTTGTGACATCACAATGAAAACGCGTCATAAAGCTTGCCAAGCGGCTAGCGGGGCCAGGCCCTTAAACCAAACTAGACTGAGCGGAGGCCCTTTGGCTCCACTCGCCTTTGTTTGGTTTTCCATTGTAGAAATGTTGTACCTGTACCTGCTGCCAGGTACTTTTTTTCATATCACCTCCGTCGAGGTTCCAAGCGAGCTGAGCGATACTAAAATGTAACGTTAAAACAGACAGACTGCTGATTGGTCAGAGAGAATATTCACTATTCACTGCATCATCATTGCTGCAGCAGACAGAGACCAGCAACAGAAAGTTTTATATTTTACAGTTTTCGTACGTTATTTCATCACTAAATCCACTTCTGAGAAGTTTTGAGGTGAGAAATCAACTGTGTAGATTTCCAAAATTGACAGTTTTACGAGAAGTGATGGCTTGAGAGTAACTTACCATCTGCTTGGTTACGGTCGCAGTCTGAAGCGGCTTTGATTTGGATCACACTACCTTGTTTCTTACGACCTGCCCTTTTCTGCTTCTGATTGGCTAGTAGTCCTTATCTGGGAACCGCATGTGCAACTCCCAACAAAAATTTTTTACAAGTAAGATGCATCACTCTGTAGCTCAAGAGCGGAGCGTACAACACACAGGGTGAAAAGAGGAGCTGCAGCAATGTGCAGTATGAGAAAATGAAACCATGTAAACCTGTTCTGGTACAACCCCTAATTAAGATCTTGAACCTGAAAATGAGCAGAATACCACCACTTTAAATACTAGTTTCTGTTAATGAGGTACACCAACCTAAAACGGTTGCAGTCCAGTTAATCAGCCCTGCAATAAATTATATCTTCATGAAGCTAGTAATATTTTTTGTAATTTGTAAAATGTCTTGTTCATGTGTTTTTACTCTTAAACTCCAAAATCTTTACTCTACAGAATTAGCTGTGATTTACTTCAGTACAAATGTTGGTGTGATGCATTTCCATTTATAAAATTATTCTAACTCTTTGCACAATCTGGGAAATTTACCTCCACAATATTTTATTTCTGGAGGCACTGAAATCAAATTAAACCAGGCACCAACCAGCACCACTGAAGACTGGACCACTAATCATTTTAACCACAACCCGTATGTCGTAACTGGTTCCTGCGTGCTGTGTTCATGGATGTTCTGAACATGGTTCGCCATCACATCTCAGTTAGAGTGGAAGAAGCTGCAGTCGAGTACAGATGTTTAATAATGACTGGCCTCCACAGATTCAGATCCTTCCTTTCTGTAAAGAAGAAAATGTAATTATAACAAAAGCCAAACAGAAGAACCACCAGCCCCGCCATGAGATCGACCTGTACAAAGCTTATAATGTTCTGTCTCTGCTGATCTTCAGTCTCAGATGTGTTAAATAATATGTATGTATAATGTGTCTTCTTAAGTTTCAGTGTGCTCAGGACCTCCATATTAATGAGCTGCTAGTTGACAAAAACAAGCAGAGAAGCCACACACCAGTGCTCATTATTGAAAATTTACCAACAGTTTTGATACAGTATGCAAGTTTTCATCATCAGAGTAGCTACGACCTGATTGTGCAGCTGCTCTTGTCACTTCTTTGCCTCTTGCTTGGCCAAAGCCATGAGGCTCCCTTTAAAAACTAATTAACTTACACGTCTACAAAACTCAGTACAAATTTAGAAATATCACATTATACACTGAAACACACATAAACACAGGAAAAACATGCAAACTCCAGAGCCCATGGCGGCCGTGGCTCAGGAGGTAGAGCAGGCTGCCCGTTGATCGGAAGGTCAACGGTTCTATCCAGGCTGCATGTCGAAGTGTCCTTGGGCAAGATACTGAACCCCGAATTGCACTTAGCAATAGCGCCTGTTCCACCAGTGTGTGAATGTTACTTTCTGTTTGGGCTCAGTGTATGAATGTGTGTGAATGCAGATGTAGTGTAAAAGCGCTTTGAGTGGTCGAAAAGACTAGAAAGGCGCTATACAAATACAAAACATTTACGTTTACATGGCTGGATTCAAACCTGCCTCATGAATTGAAATTAATTAATTATTAGGACGTAATACTCACTCACACACAGGCAACATGCAGTGTTAATTAATAAACGTTTTTACTTTGTCAACTAACATTAGTTCGCTAGTGTGAATAAATCATTTGAGTGCACAACATACCGTTTCAGCAACGCTGATGGCGTCGCTCCTCAGCTCCAGACTTCTGATACCATTGCCTCCGCCAATGCATCAGTGAAACGGCCGTCAGTAAAATGCGTGTTGCAGACTGTGTATAAGATGGTGGCAGGTGAAAGTGCGACGCATTTTCTGTCATCTGTCCTCCAGCCCAAGACGCCTCGCCACTGATTACAGACACCGCACACACAGATGCCATAATGAAACTAAACAGCACATTAAACCAAGAGGAGGAAACTAAAAAATTAATTTGATATACGCCTTTGTAGGCAGGAGTTCCAAGCCCAAACGCATTGACCTTGCTTATAGCGCCCCATAGTGGTAGAAGTGTGCGGATTTTTGCGCCTGAGTTACTTGCAGGGGCTGGTACCTACCCTACGAGTTTCGCGTCCCTAGCAGTTACCATCTAGGCTGCAGTAGTGGAATTAGCGGCGGAAGAATAAAAAAAAAAAAAAAACGAGAACGATTACAAAAACCTTATATCCACGTGTTAGGGGGATCGAGCTGAATCTCGTGGTATAGGCCATGCCCATTTCTGCCTCGACACCAAACTTGGCACGGATAACCTCTGGACCAAGCTGATGAAAGTTTGTAGGAAATTTGGATCCGACAAAAAATGTCGCAATTATATGCTGGCAAACATTTGCAAAAAACACTACTAACAGTTGCTTTGGAATGGCCAATCGACACCAAATTTGGAGTGTTAATGTGGGACACCCCCCTGAGGGCCTGTGCAAAATTTGGTGCAACTCGCCCCTAGGGGGTGCTATTTAATCCAAGAAAATTGTTCCTCTATAACCACAAGTCACACTGACATGAAACCAGTGCCGAATTGTTCAGCATGGTCCCCTTACTACAGGCACCAAACTTCACCCAAATATGCCCATAGGTGGCGCTGTTATTGCACATTAAAGACGTCAAAAAAAATCCCATTGACTTACATGCATTTTATATCTCCATAACCACAAGTCCGATTCACACCAAATTTGGGTCAATTGTTCCCCATGGGGCCCCGATGACACGTGCAATTCGGCCAAAAGGTGGCGCTATAATCGAAGCTCAAATACCCCATTCATTTCAATGGGATTTTCAACCAAAGGACATTTTGCGGGATAACGGCTCGCTTCATTGCACATTCATAAACCTTATGTCTACGTGTTTAGGGGATGCTGCCGATTCCGATGGTATAGCACACGCCTCTGTGCGATGACGTTTTCATTTCGCAAAATCGCGAAATCGCGAAAACTCCTACGAAACTGCAAGTCCAATCGGCACGAAACTTGTAACGGACAATCTCTGGACTGAGCCGACAAAAGTTTGTAGAGGGAATTTTGATCTGACAAAAAATGTCCCAATTGCAAGCTAACAAATATTTGCGAAAACGCTAAAAACAGGAAATATAACATATCTCAGGCTTGGAAAGGCCGATCAACACAAAACTTCAGGACCGGGGGGGCCTGCGCCGGGAGGCTTGGACCCTTCTTATAACTGCTTGCAGTTCTAGTTATTATTATTATTATTATTATTATAAAATTGAACCTTTTACTGTTAGAAACTCTGTGTACGTTCGTTGTTAGCTAACCAACTTTAAAAGTCCCCGTGCAGGGTTCAGCTGCTCATCACATAACGTTAACGTTAGCTAACATGTCAGCTGTTAGTGTTTACGTTGGTGAGTAAAGTCTCGCACTACTGATGTCCAGCCTGATGACAGAGACACTGGGACACGTCGCATCTGGTTTGAAGTGAAGAAATCTTTCTTTCAGGGCACCGTGGCCAGTCCGGACCAAGACCTGCCAGATGGACCCTGAAGGGTCGCTCACGGCTCTGTAGATGTAAAGTCAGGACAGGACAGGGAGAGAAGCTCAGAGGAGAAGCTTCATGTTGAAGAAGATCTGGGCTCTGCTGGGTGTGAGAGTTTAAACAGCCCTCGTCTCTGCCCTCAGGCCCTCAGGGCCTCGCACAGATAAACAGTTTCTTTGTCTTCTGAACGTTGCAGCTGGCTGCGGTCATGTGGATGATGACGTACGTCGGAGCCATCTTTAACGGGGTCACCATCCTCATCATCGGTGAGCCTTCTTCTTCTTCTTCTTCCTCTTTTCAGTCCAAACTCGGCTTCAGACTGACTAATCTTCTCTTTCCCAGCTGACATTGTGTTCTTCACCACGCCGCTGATCTACCAGAAGAAAAAGGTGCGTATTATTAGATTTGTTGTTTGACACCCAGTGTAATTATCCTTTATATAACTCCATCAGATGCTCTAATGATACAGTGTGTGCTGGAACATGAACTTCCTGATGTGGGTCAGTAAAGTCTAGAATCCAGAGGATCTGACAACAGAACCTGCTTCATTTTTGCCATTTTACGGCTTTCGCTGCCGTTGCCTAGGCTACCAACGAGGTGTGCAGGTTCTGCCGCAGGCGTTGTTTCTGCAGATTAGTTAATGTTTAAAACGAAGTCGTCGCGCGAAGTGCTCATTCTGAAGTCGTCTTGAATGTGTGTGTTCAGACGCAGATTGATCAGCTGATCGAGCTGATTGGCTCCAGAGTGGAGGCGACGCTGCACAGGTGAGCTGACATCACAGCAGGTTGAGTAAGATCCTGTTTCACTGTAAACCCACCGTGTGTGTGTGTGTGTGTGTGTGTGTGTGTGTGTGTGTGTTTCAGGCTGCAGGACCGCTTACCTGGAGCTGTGAAAAGAACCAAACCTGAGTGACACCTGACCTGCACCCCTCCTCCTCTGATTGGTCTGTTTGTCAGTGACTCACCTGCTGAATTAATTCATGTAATAAAATCCTGACTGAAATGACTCCAAGCGTTTTTTCTGTAACAAACATCTGGTCCTTCTGGGGTTAGGGTTCCTCATCATCAGGCTGAATGAGTCCATCAAGACTCTCCAGCTGATCCAGAATGCTACAGCACGTCTTCTGACAGGAACCAGGACCAGAGATCGTATTTCTCCGGTTTTAAGTTCTCCTGTAAAATCCTTCTGCTCACCTCCAGAGCTCCCAGTACTCAGGCTCCATCTCACCTAACAGAGGACCTCAGCACCCACCAGAGCTCTGTGCGCCCACATGAATCCAGATTCAGTAGCAGCACAGTTTGAGATTTGAGTTGGCTGAAATTGATTGAAAGGTGCTCATGGAAACGTTCTGGCTCCGAGCGGCTGGTCACACCGCTGCTTTAAAAGTGGGAGACCAGGGTTTAATTCCTGAGTAGCTGTAAGTCGCTTTGGATAAAAGCGTCAGCTAAATGAATAAATGTATAAATACCATCATGCATTGTGCTGATAGAAAGAACAGATTGTCCGACAGCAATGACCTGATTAGCAGCGGTGAGATAATGAGATGCGTCGTGCTCTCTAGAGACGGGAGAGTGAAAGAAGTGTTCAGAGGGAATGTGGAGCTTCATCATTCATGTTCCTGGGATCAGCTTTGGTTTATCTGCTGCTGGAGGGCCACAGGAGGGCCACAGTAACTCAGAGATCAGTCGTTGAATCCATCTGCTGTTGTTGGTCTGATTTAACGTCTACCTTTTTAATTTAATTGAATTACATCAGTGAACAAAGATCCTCAGTGTTGTAGAGACAAAGCTCTTCCTCACATCTTTAGTGCATCTCACGCCGGTTTCACGCACAACGCACATTTTAAATTCCCACCGTATTTATCACGTGAGTCTGACTGCTGGACTGCTCGCACCACTCTTAAAATGCTTGTTTTCTGAATGGAGCTTGGCTCGATCAGCGCTGTGCTAACGAGTTTCATTATAAAGTTCAGTATCATTAACAGACTCATTTTCTGAAGTCACGGGTGTTTCAGCTTCCTCTTTTTTCCCTGCAGCCTCCTGTTTCTCTCTGTATGAACATGAAGCCACCTCTCAGGCCCCTCAGGCCCCTCAGATCTCCCTAACAGCGTATCAGAATGAACTGGTCTCCTGGTATTACTAACACTGCCCCCCCCCCCCAGTTTTATTACCCTTTACACAAATGAATGTAGGAGCAACACTTCTGATCAGGTTACTATTAAAGATGCTTCTTTTCTATCCAGTCATGACTCTGCAGCTGTTTCCAAAAAAAAAATCGCAGATTGTTGATTTTACAGCATTTTACACATTTGTGGATCCATTTTCACACATGAAACGGGTTATATGTGTGTACAGTGTATATACAGTATATATAGCCTCTGTATTTATACGTGTGTACAGTGTATATACAGTATATATAGGCTCTGTATTTATACATGTGTTTACAGTGTATATACAGTATATATAGCCTCTGTATTTATACATGTGTGTACAGTGTATATACAGTATATATAGCCTCTGTATTTATACATGTGTGTACAGTGTATATACAGTATATATAGCCTCTGTATTTATACATGTGTGTACAGTGTATATACAGTATATATAGCCTCTGTATTTATACGTGTGTACAGTGTATATACAGTATATATAGGCTCTGTATTTATACATGTGTTTACAGTGTATATACAGTATATAGCCTCTGTATTTATACATGTGTGTACAGTGTATATACAGTATATATAGGCTCTGTATTTATACATGTGTGTACAGTGTATATACAGTATATATAGGCTCTGTATTTATACATGTGTTTACAGTGTATATACAGTATATATAGGCTCTGTATTTATACATGTGTGTACAGTGTATATACAGTATATATAGGCTCTGTATTTATACATGTGTTTACAGTGTATATACAGTATATATAGGCTCTGTATTTATACATGTGTGTACAGTGTATATACAGTATATATAGCCTCTGTATTTATACGTGTGTACAGTGTATATACAGTATATATAGGCTCTGTATTTATACATGTGTTTACAGTGTATATACAGTATATAGCCTCTGTATTTATACATGTGTGTACAGTGTATATACAGTATATATAGGCTCTGTATTTATACATGTGTGTACAGTGTATATACAGTATATATAGGCTCTGTATTTATACATGTGTTTACAGTGTATATACTGTATATATAGGCTCTGTATTTATACATGTGTGTACAGTGTATATACAGTATATATAGGCTCTGTATTTATACATGTGTGTACAGTGTATATACAGTATATATAGGCTCTGTATTTATACATGTGTGTACAGTGTATATACAGTATATATAGGCTCTGTATTTATACATGTGTTTACAGTGTATATACAGTATATATAGCCTCTGTATTTATACATGTGTGTACAGTGTATATACAGTATATATAGGCTCTGTATTTATACATGTGTTTACAGTGTATATACAGTATATATAGGCTCTGTATTTATACATGTGTTTACAGTGTATATACAGTATATATAGGCTCTGTATTTATACATGTGTGTACAGTGTATATACAGTATATATAGGCTCTGTATTTATACATGTGTGTACAGTGTATATACAGTATATATAGCCTCTGTATTTATACATGTGTGTACAGTGTATATACAGTATATATAGCCTCTGTATTTATACATGTGTGTACAGTGTATATACAGTATATATAGGCTCTGTATTTATACATGTGTTTACAGTGTATATACAGTATATATAGGCTCTGTATTTATACATGTGTGTACAGTGTATATACAGTATATATAGGCTCTGTATTTATACATGTGTTTACAGTGTATATACAGTATATATAGGCTCTGTATTTATACATGTGTTTACAGTGTATATACAGTATATATAGCCTCTGTATTTATACATGTGTGTACAGTGTATATACAGTATATATAGCCTCTGTATTTATACATGTGTGTACAGTGTATATACAGTATATATAGGCTCTGTATTTATACATGTGTGTACAGTGTATATACAGTATATATAGGCTCTGTATTTATACATGTGTTTACAGTGTATATACAGTATATATAGGCTCTGTATTTATACATGTGTTTACAGTGTATATACAGTATATATAGCCTCTGTATTTATACATGTGTGTACAGTGTATATACATTATATATAGGCTCTGTATTTATACATGTGTGTACAGTGTATATACAGTATATATAGGCTCTGTATTTATACATGTGTTTACAGTGTATATACAGTATATATAGGCTCTGTATTTATACATGTGTTTACAGTGTATATACAGTATATATAGCCTCTGTATTTATACATGTGTGTACAGTGTATATACAGTATATATAGCCTCTGTATTTATACATGTGTGTACAGTGTATATACAGTATATATAGCCTCTGTATTTATGCATGAGTGTACAGTGTATATACAGTATATATAGCCTCTGTATTTATACATGTGTGTACAGTGTCACGATCGTGGTGTGGAGGCAGGTTGGAGAACCCAAACGCAGGACACAGAGCGGGGCAGGTATGGTACACGAAGGGTTTTAATAAACAAACAAAAGCGAGCACACTTACAGGTGAGTGGCTGAATAACTGAAATCCAAAGGTACCGGGAGACGAGACAAGACAAGACGAGACGAGACGAGACGAGCAAGGCTGGTTACAGGCAGAGAGTACACACACGACAGACTGGGGGTAACATGAACAATGACTGGACAAGGACAAGACAGAAACACCAGGTATATATACACACAGGGACTAACGAGCAGGGCGGGAGCAACACAGGTGAAAGACATGAGACTAACGAGGCAGAGAGAGAGAGCAGAGGAAAACAGAGACTAGACATGACAAGCAGACTATATAACAGATACTGGACACTAGACAGGACAGAACCCAAAACTCAACATACCAAGGCAGATACCAAACTCAAAAGTAAACACAAAGGATGGCCAACCGGCAGAGCGTGACAGTACCCCCCCACCGACGAGCGTCTCCAGACGGTCAACAAAACCCAAAACAGCCCAAAAACAAGGCACAGGCCGGCCCAGGGTGGGCGGAGGGAGGACAGGAGGAGGGCAAGTCGAGCCAGGGTGGGCGGAGGGAGGACAGGAGGAGGGCCAGACCAGGAACTCTCAGGAGGGTGGCCAGTGGGCAAGGCAAGGGAGCGACAGAGTTCGGGAGGTCGCACAAGCAGGCCAAGGGGACAAAACAGTCCGGGGGAACCACCCAACAGGCAGATCATGCCCAGGAAACAGGGCAGGTAAGGCACTTGGCCTAACATGCAGGGCAGGGCAGAGGGGCAGAACAGTTCAGGAGGCCGTCCCGGAGGGCGACCCAGGAGGCCGTGCAGACCAAAGGGGTCACGGAGTTCAGGAGGTCGTCCCGGGGGATGACAAGACAGGCCGAGCAAATCAGGGGGAAAACACAGTTCAGGAGGCCGTCCCGGAGGTCGACCGAGTAGACCAGGAGAGCAAAACAGTTCAGGTGGGTGTCCCGTGGGACGACCCATGAGGCCGGGCAGAACCGGGGGCCACAGAGTTCGGGAGGCCGCGCCGGAGGTCGACTCAACAGGCCGGGCAGAACAGGGGGGCCACAGAGTTCGGGAGGTTGGCAGGACGGCCAACAGTGAGGCAGCAAACCCACTGGGGGCCGAGCAGGAGGCCGACGGCAAGACCTCTTCGGAGGTCGGCACCCAAAGCTTGGGTGCTCTGGAGGCACAGCTGGGCTGAGGACCATGGACCGGACACGAGGAGCTGGAGTCGGCCTGACCACCGACTGGGTAGCAGGGCTGGGGACCATGGACCGGACACGAGGAGCTGGAGTCGGCCTGACCACCGACTGGACAGCAGGGCAGGGGACCATGGACCGGACACGAGGAGCTGGAGTCGGCCTGACCACCGACTGGACAGCAGGGCAGGGGACCATGGACCGGACACGAGGAGCTGGAGTCGGCCTGACCACCGACTGGACAGCAGGGCTGGAGGCCATGGACCGGACACGAGGAGCTGGAGTCGGCCTGACCACCGACTGAGCACTAGGAACAGGAGTCGGCTGGGCCACCAACGGAGCTGGTGTTTGTCGGACCACCGACGGGAGAACAGGAGTCAGCTGGGCCACCGGCGAAGCAGGTGCCGGTCGGACCACCAACGGAGCATGAGGAACAGGAGTCGGCTGGGCCACCAACGAAGCTGGTGTTGGTCGGACCACCGACGAGGGAACAGGAGTCAGCTGGGCCACCGGCGAAGCAGGTGCCGGTCGGACCACCGACGGGGCACGGGGAGCGGGAACCGGTCTGGCCACTGACGGAGACCTAGGAACTGGTGTCAGTCGGACCTTCGATGAGGGACCAGTAACAGGTGTCGGTAGGACGACCGAGTGAGATCTGGGAGCAGGAGTAGGCCAGGGATCAGGCAGGCGGGCAGGCACAAAGCTAGTAGCACTAGCTGGCCTGGGATCACGCTGGTTGCAGACCGGTCGCTGCTGGTGACCTGGTCGCCTCCGATGACCACCACGGGAACCCGAAAAGATGGCCAGGCAACTTCCCTCGAAGGAGGACTCCGGGGGGAGCCTAGCCTCCAGGCTATCAGGCCATAGGCTAGCTGGTCGACTCCGAGCTGGGTGGCTGACTGGTTGGGAACTAGCAATCCTAGGACTCTCTGGTTCTAACGGCAAGTCCATCAAAAAAGAGACCAGAGAGCTAGATGTCCAGGAGTCCCCAACCAGTCCGGATGATGGAGCCAACACAGGAGGGAGATGACCAGGCGGGCGGCTAGCAGGCTGGGTGCTAGAAGGCCGGGAGAGGAAGAAGCCTCCCACCATGCAGCTAGCAGGCCGGGAACAAGCCCTGGAGCTAGCAGTACCGGGGACAGGCTGAGGACTAACAACGCTAGCCGAGCTGGAGACTGGCGGATCAGGCTGGTGACTGGCAGCGCCAGTCGGGCAGGACGAGTGGATGCTTCCCTGCGTGCAGCCGGCAGGCCGGGGCTCGGGGCTAGCAGGCTTAGCAGTCACACACTGGGGGGTTGCAGAGCAAAGTCTCGACACAGTCTCAAATTCAAAAGACCTTCTCCATCGGGAGGAGGCAACGAGCAGGGCCATTTCTGGGTCCGTTCTCCACATATTAGAGAGTAACTCAAAAAACTGCGGCTCCTCGGCTGTTAGCTCCTCTTTAGGCACCCCCAGTTCCTCCCAGGTGCTGGGCAATTTAACAATGTCCGCTGGGTCCATATTTGGTCCGGTCATTCTGTCACGATCGTGGTGTGGAGGCAGGTTGGAGAACCCAAACGCAGGACACAGAGCGGGGCAGGTATGGTACACGAAGGGTTTTAATAAACAAACAAAAGCGAGCACACTTACAGGTGAGTGGCTGAATAACTGAAATCCAAAGGTACCGGGAGACGAGACAAGACGAGACGAGACGAGCAAGGCTGGTTACAGGCAGAGAGTACACACACGACAGACTGGGGGGTAACATGAACAATGACTGGACAAGGACAAGACAGAAACACCAGGTATATATACACACAGGGACTAACGAGCAGGGCGGGAGCAACACAGGTGAAAGACATGAGACTAACGAGGCAGAGAGAGAGAGCAGAGGAAAACAGAGACTAGACATGACAAGCAGACTATATAACAGATACTGGACACTAGACAGGACAGAACCCAAAACTCAACATACCAAGGCAGATACCAAACTCAAAAGTAAACACAAAGGATGGCCAACCGGCAGAGCGTGACATACAGTGTATATACAGTATATATAGGCTCTGTATTTATACATGTGTTTACAGTGTATATACAGTATATATAGGCTCTGTATTTATACATGTGTGTACAGTGTATATACAGTATATATAGGCTCTGTATTTATACATGTGTTTACAGTGTATATACAGTATATATAGGCTCTGTATTTATACATGTGTGTACTGGGGTGCTGGGGGGGGCCACTGGTCGGTCCGGGTGCTGCTCTTCCGCGGGTTTTGCCTCTTGCGTCCCATCGGCATTGCGTTGTCAACTGGCATTTGGATGGTTGTTTTTATTTTATTTTTGGGCGTCTGTTGGCTGGGTCGGGGTATTTATTTTCTTTCTCCCACCCCTATTGGCTACTGGGGTTCTTGCCTGCCTGTTGCTGGGGTAGGTGTGGCACAGTCGTGGCGTCCCACTCTCACTAACAACTACATTCTTTAACAGGCTTATGCGCACACACATGTACACACACACATACAGACACATTCACCCACACGCACACAGACACACAGTCTCACACATAGACACAAACAAATTTAGGTTGTCCCTGGTAGAATTATTCCTGATGCTTTTCTTTCAGTTACTGATTTAAATTAATTGTTATTATTCCAGCTCTTGTTGCTGTGCTGTGTTGCTTATTTAGTGTGCTGGACTGTTTCTTGCTTTCATTTTTCTCTTTTTTGTCAGCTGTTTATTGCTGCTGTTCGGCTGGTTGTCTTTTGCTATTATTATTATTGTTTGTTTTGTTTGTGTTTGTTTGTTGTTGTTGTTTTTCTCCTCCCCAAGCCCCCCTCTCCCTCTGCTTTTCCCTGTTGTCCCCACCTTCCATCCCCCTTCTCTTACAGGACTTGTCCTTTCTTTCTCTGTGCTGTCTGTTTGTGCCCCCCCATCCCCGTGTCTGCCCCCCTGTCCGGCCCGGTGACAAATCAATATATAATTAAATAAATAATAAAACAGACAAAGGAGTATATTAATGCTCTCTTGTTAAAGTAAAATCTGTCTGGCACAACATGGTATCCAGGTCATCATACTCTATACCAGGCTGCTGGGCAGGACTGGTTTAAAAATTAGAAGAAGGCTGCAGTGACAGATGGAGTGATGCCAAGAGACGGCGACAGCGAGAAGGAGGAACACCAGAAGCTCGACAAATATCAAGAAAGAGGAGCTGGAGGAGATGTGGAGAGGAAAAGCATCTATATATATACATATACACATCATATAGAGTGTGTGTTCCTTTTCCTTCAGTTCCTCCTCCTCCTCCTCTCCCTCCACATCTCTCTGGATCTGTTTTCTATCTACTGATTGGTTTGTGATCAGTAATGTCTAAATATGTGTTAATGGAGCTCAGCTGTGCCGACTGAGGGTTGAATGTTGGTGCTTTCTAAATGACCAGTTGGTGGGCGTAAAAGAGAAATGAAGGGACTGTGTGGAAACAGGGAGCAGAGTTCAGGAGAGGGTGGGCATTTTTTTTAAAATATCATGAATCTAATCAGTTTGTTTCTTTGAATCTGATCTGAACTAAACTGTGGGTGTGTTCTGTTCTGTTATCGCATTGTCATTTACACAGAAACAAAGTCCACTGAACGGACTGATATCAGAGGTCAAAGGTCACCGCAGGCTGAAGAACTGATTCTGCTGAAAGGGCAGAAAGCAGCCAGACGGCCGCGTGGAGGAAGAAGGACGGAGGATTCAAAGAAACGTGACAAACAGGAAGGAGGATTTCACAACTGACTGAAGGAGTCGAACTTTAAGAGAGTGAAGCTGCACGTTGCTGAGCTTAAACCAGCAGAAACGAATCCTGACTGATGAAGAACATATCTGGAGAACGCTGAGAGAACATCTGGGCCTGCGGCCGTCCTGCACAAACACTGAAGGTAGCGTAAAGTTTATTAATTCGGACTGTCTTGTTCGTCTTCAGTGTGAGCAGGTTCCCTTTATGGTTGGTTGGATTTGTTTCTTAAAAACAAAGAGAACCATCATGTGACAGTTTGAATTAACTTCCTCCATGTGGGCGACACCTGACAGCACAGTGCTGAACCAGACTCCTCAGTCCCTGAAAAACAATATCAATGACAATACATTTGGTTTAAGGTCACCTTACATCATGTGAAAAACATACGATCAACATCATGAACAACAAGCAGCAGTAAGACAGCAATAAAACCACAGTCAGAGTCTGCAGGAGGGGAAACTAGTTGGAAGCTGAGCATTAGTAATGGAGTCCAGAATGTGGACGGGGGGGGGGGGGGGGGGCAGTGGAAGAAGGTCCTAGCAAAGCAGTCTCTCCCGACTTTCTTGACTAACATCACATTCAAGGTAAACATAACGTTTCTTTACGCCACCGGCTAAACTAAAAATCTAAACCAAGTAAAAATCCCGACTTCTAAACAGCTGATTTCTGCACACGTGTTTATAGGAGCAGTATTCAGTAGTTTTACAAAGCGTCACATTAACGCCGCTCTCTCCTGGCGAGTCCAGCAGCTGCCGGAGTTTCTTTCTGCCAGTTTCAGTTGCTGCTTCAGCAGAGACTTCAGTATACATCATGTAGAAATGTTCACGGCTGAAAGCTTTTTGAACCGACGACAACGTTCTCTGCATCTTAGACTGTGACACAGTAATGGTGGTACTTCCAGCTGTGGACAAGATGCCTCTGTCTCTCCTTCCCCATTCTGCGGTTAGCATTTTGGCTAACAGCTGACTCGAACAACAGAAGGTCCGGTGCTGCTGAGCTGCAGCGCAGGTCAACTATGGTGCGTTCAGTAATGCAGTGTTACTTATTGGATTAGTAACTGTAAGTAATTCGTTACACTATAGTTACTGGGAAAAGTGATATTATTACAGCCCAACACTGGAGCCGCCTGACAGGATCACAGTGCAGTAGTCAGAACAAAAGCAAGCACTCACTGACTTCTGTAGAGGGTCACAGCCGGGCTGGAGAAGCTTCGCAGCTGAAAGAGGGCAGTCTGGGTGACTGGGTATCTACATGACTGGAGCAGAAAGGGTCCCGTCCAGGATGACACCGAGCCTCTAAACCTTTGTGGAGACGGACGGCGTCAGTTATGGGGAAAGGACAGATTCTAGTTTTTCAGAGTGCACATTTGGAACCTCGTCTTGCTGCTTTGAGTTGTCAGATCTGTATACCATGGAGACAGTGAGGGTTCTTGAGGGGGGGCACATAACGCTGTGGATTGTCAGCAGAACACTGAGAATGGATAGCGTAGTGCAGGGGTCGAATGTTATAGTGCAGTAAAGTGCACACCTCTTACCTGAAGGGTTCAATCCCCACAATGCCAAATATATTTTCTCTTCAACAATTTCATATCGAGAGACGATTTCACATGCTCACAATAAAGCAGAGAGATTATAAATGTAAGTGGAGCATTATTGCAATGTCAGAGTTGGCGTTGGAAATAGGCCTGTAGTTCTGGTCATTACAGTCTAGTCAGGGTTTTTCCAGAGTCCGTCTGACTGTGGCAACTTTCAGTGAAGGGGGGGCCGGACCAGCGGACAGAGACGAGGCTGTAATGGAGGTTATCAGGCCAATGAACAGGGCGAGTAGGCTTTTACTCGGGCTGCAGGGATTGGATCCTTTGGATGGTGACATGTGGAGTTGTTGGAGTCAGTAATAAGTTCAAAGGTTTTCAGCTGGTAGACTGGAGTCATAAAGGACAGTGGATGGGGACAGTGGCTGACTAGAAGCTGGTCTGCGTGATGTTAGCAGAGGCCAGCTGCTCATGGACTGCAGTCGTGGAGTTAAAAAAAGTCAAACATTTTGAAAGGTTCTGTCATATTGACGAGGTGACTGGAATCAAAAGCAGACTCGGAGCACAATTCCAGGAATTTACAGTTTATTGAAAGGCTGATGGAGCAGAGGGCTGACCAGGGAGTGGATTTCCAGGCAGGCAGTGAGCTGAGCTCAGGGAGAGCAAGGTAAGGTAGGATCTCACCCAGAAAACAAACTGTTGATGTAACGAAGAGTGAGGAGCAGAGCCGGGTGGATGTGCTGCAGAGTCTTGATTAGTGGAATGTGGATCAGTTGTGCAGGCGGAGGTGGAGAGCCAGGTCCAGACAGGGACACTGACAGGAGACACTGGGAGGGAGGAGAACACATGCACAAGGGATAAGAAGGATGCATGTCGCTCTCTGTGGAGAACACAGTATGTCCTTCGCCAGTACGGATGATATTTGCGTAATCTGAGGTATAGATACTGAGGGAGAATTTCTGTGGTGGAGTATATGATCCAGGTTATGCATAACAAGTCCGGTGGTGGTGGACTGGACCTAAAGCCTGAAGCTGACATGGGTCAGGTGTGCACCAGGGGGCAGTATGAGCACCTGAGACTGCCCGGCTTTTGTTAATGATAATAATTATAACAAAGAGTTTTGATATTCTTGGAATCATGGACAAATGAAATGTGCACATCCAACACAGAAATCCTGCTCATCTGTTGAGGGTTAAGCACCCAGAACAAAAACACTTAAAATGGCACTCAAGGCCAGATGAAGTGGCTGAGAAAAGGAGTCAGGTGGGGAGTCGCCGACACACCCACGGAGATAGTCTGTTCATTTTAACTGAGACATGATTTATTTATCTATTTATTTAAAGGTCCAGTCTGTAATATTTCTGAGGATCTACGGACAGAAATGCAATATAAGATCCATAACTATGTTTTCAGTGGTGTGTAAAGACCTTACATAATAAACTGTTATGTTTTTATTACCTTAGAATGATCCATTTATATCTACTTAACGGCGGGAACCCCCTTCCATGGACGTCGCCACGTTGCATCGTCATGTTTCTACAGTAGCTGAAAACAAACGGACAGACAGAGCACGTTTCGTCACCACGTTCTTCTTGTTCTACTTAATTCAGGCAGTCAGACACTCGTCACTGTGTTGAATACGTATGTTAGAAGAAGAAGAGGAAGTAGTAATAATATACTGCAGGCTCGGCAAATAAGTTTTGCATCAGAGCAACATTTTCAACCATTAGATGGTGGATGAGAATATAAGTCATAATATTGACTTACAGCAATATGTTGTTCGGTTAGCTCAGTCGGTTTGAGGGTTTTTTTCTCTCTCTCTCTTTAATAAATGGTCAGTGTTTGTATAAACTCTATCTAATGTGTGGTTTTTAAAGGACTGTGGTGCAGAAACATTGACAGTGTTTCACACTCTTCGGTCACATTTTCCACGTTATCTGTCACAATAACATCTGGTTTACTGAATAATTCAGTAAATATACTTTCTTAATAAATCTACCTAAAGTAACCTCATTTCCTGACTGGCCACTCTGGTGATGAGGATTGTGCAATTCACAACCCTCACCACTAGATGCCACTAAATCTTACACACTGAACCTTGAAATTAAAGAACTGTCAGTGTGGCTCCAGCGTACTGGCCCCCAATTTGTGATGCCAGAGCAAGACGATTACTACACCAGAATTAAATGGAGCCAGAATCCACATGTGAAATATAACCATAAGATATCCTAACTCAGAGTCACTTTACATGAAAACACATTACAATCATCAATATCAATTCAGTTCAAGAGGAGGCAAGAAAGATGGGGGGGGCAGCCAACACAATATCCACACAGAGGTACAGACAGCAAAGGTGATGTTACTATAGACTAAATGAAAAATGGTACAGATATTTATAGTAATGTTAATGATAACAATCGTAATGTTAATGATTATAATAACAATAATAACAATAGGACTAGTAACAATAGTTGTAGCAGAGGGTGTCGAGCAGGAACACAGGGGCAGCAGGTGACCCGCAACCACAGATCCAGACTCCACAGCTCCAGAGCCAGAAGCACCTGCAGGAAGTGATAGGAGGAGAGAGGAGAGGGACGAGAAAGCACAAGACTACCAGAAAGGGGAGAAGTTGTGTTAGTAACATGCAATAATGGGATGAGGTTGCATACAGAGGGAGAGAAAGTAGAGGAGAGAGGAGCTCAGTGCATCATGGGAAATCCCCCGGCAGTCTAGGCCTATAGCAGCATAACTAAGGGATGGTTCAGGACTCACCTGAGCCAGCCCTAACTATAAGCTTTATCAAAGAGGAAAGTCTTAAGCCTACTCTTAAATGTGGAGATGGTGTCTGCCTCCTGAACCCAAACTGGAACCTGGTTCCTAGTCTACTTTTGGAGACTCTAGGAACCACAGGTGCATTCTGGGAGCGCAGTGCTCTGGTGGGGTAGTAAGGTACTATGAGCTCTTTAAGATAAGATGGTGCCTGACCATTAAGAGCTTTGTAGGTAAGAAGAAGGATTTTAAATTCTATTCTGGATTTTACTGGAAGCCAATGCAAAGAAGCTAAAACAGGAGAAATGTGATCTCTTTTCCTGGTTCCTGTCAGAACACGTGCTGCAGCATTCTGGATCAGCTGAAGAGTCTTAATGGACTTTTTCGAGCAGCCTGATAATAAGGAATTGCAGTAATCCAGCCTAGAAGTAACAAATGCATGGACTAGTTTTTCATATATACATCTCATAACCACGAGCCACATGAAATAGTGTGGGTGTGACGCAGAGCTCAAGAGTCCGTGGATGTCAGGATGTGCAAAGGAGCATGTGTGTTTAATGAGTGCGCATTGGTCAGGGAGTAAGTGTCAGATTTCTTTAAGCTTAGTTTCCTCTGTTGCTGCATGAGTGACAGATATTCTTCAGTCCATCATTTCCAACACAGGGGTCTCATTTCTAAACGCTGCGTACGTCCAAAACAGGGCTGGAAACGGTGCGGACACCACTTCCTAAGCAAAGGTTGTGATCTCTAAAAAAGCAGAGCTGACGGGAGAATGTGCGTCCTGGAAGTAAACTCTGACCCATGCGTACGCACAAAGAGGAGAGAAGAGAAACGCCACCTCACATGGCAGAAGGATGAAACTGTTTGAAATGAAGAGGCCTACTGCTGTGTCAAATAAATCCAAATATTTCCTCTGAGCATTAATTTATGAATAAACTCACTCAACAGCTGATTGACTGATTTTCCCTGAAGTGGCCAATAAACATCGTTAAAGATCATTTGCAGCCAAAAAGATCCAGATTCAGGATCAGAAACACAAACAGAGATTCTGTTTCTGCAAAAGAGCCTCACGTATGTTGGACAGTTTCATCAGGAATCAGATTAATTAATACTTTTATGCAGCAGTTTATTCTCCTAAATGAGGCGAACAGGAGACGAATCACATTTAAACTGATGCTGTTTTCAGCGAGAGCTTCATGTTGTTCTCACATGTTCTTATGGAGCCAAACGCTAAGCGCCAGTGTGATACAGTTCCATAAAGGAGACCCCAGGTCTGCAGTATATTGCACCTGTTTCCGTCTCTTCCATGTGGAGGTCATCTTTGCTAAAGAGTCCTGGTGCCAATAGAGGTTTAACCTTCAGCTGCAGAAGGTGGTTTGGCGTTAGGGGTTCTAGATCATTTGGGTCAGCAGACACAGTAGTGATTGGCCAATCATTGAAAATGGTTTCAACGTCATGCAGAGCCGTCTGTAGCATTACTTAAACCATGGTTTGCTGCCTCATGACAGAAAAGAGTACCTTTTCCTCTAGCCTGATGAGTCTTTCCCACACTCATTACATTTCTTCATTCAGCTGACGCTTTTATCCAAAGTGACTTACAGCTGCTATATATGTCAGAGGTCGTACACCTCTGGAGCAACCAGGGGTGACGTGTCTTCATCAGGGACATATTGGTGGATGGGTCACAGTGGGGAGTTGAATCACTGCTCCATCAACACCCCTCCTCCAAAGTGTGCTGCAAATGGAGGGTTGACCAACCATTTGCCTCGATTAGTCAGCAGTGCATCCTGAATCCTTTGGTGATCCAGCTTGATCCGAGCCTTTTTGTGCACCCACATATTTGGTACCACAGTCTGTTCGGGTGGTTAATAGTGGCCCTCTCCAACATAGAAACCTTTGTATGGCGTTGGTGCAGGAGTTTGGATCTGGAGTGCTCGCCGTTTCCAGGTGGACATCTCGACACACCAGGCAGGTAAATATTACATTTCCATCCTTTAAACTCTACGGGTCCAAAATAATCAGTGCCCACATGAGATCTGGTGCCACCTGATCCGTCTGCCATTTTCTTTTTCCCAAACCTTGGGAGCATGTGGTTCCTTCCCGAGTGCCCAACCTGCTGATGAATGTTACGCAAGATCACTTTGGATACATGTGAGTCTCTGGGAAAGATAATCATGTTTTTCAAGCTCACTGGCAGTGCTGATTTACTCATCCGTCTTCCAACTCATAGGATGTCCTAATCAACCATTAGATCCAGTGTGCGTAAAGAGCTGTCTGCTTTAACTGACTTGCCTTTCTTTAAAAGTTCTGAGCTGAAGTAGTGCTGTTAGCAAATGCTTGACTTCTCTGCCTCATTTAAATCCTCCACGGTTTAACCATGCCCTTGTTGTCCATGTGTCGATTTCGTGTGGTCACATGAGCTTGTGTCTTCCCAAGTCGAAGCAGCAGGTGTTTTTTCAGTTTCGGCAGCCAACCCACAGCTCTCTGCACTCTTCTCTGCAGAATAGTTGTCAGTTAGGTTGCTAGAGGCATTGTTCATGTTCAAGCAATTTGCAGTGATGTTCCTTTTTTCCTCTGGGTCAGTTGGAGGTATATGGCCAAGATCCTCTGGTATGTCAGGCCATTCAGTTTCCCTTTTTAACAGGAAGTCAGGGCCGTTTAACCCTCTGGTGGAATCCCGGATGTGTAATCCACCTGAGGCATCACTTGCAGGATTGTCTTTTTTTTACTTACATGCCTCTACTGACATCTGCTCCGCAGTTTTAGCTCTGTAATCCATCTTTGCCAGGGCCTTGATAGTTCTTCTAAGATGATTTCATCCCATCCACATTTTTCAATGCAGAGTTTCCGTAGGATTTGTTTGGCTTTGAGGATAAAGGGGGAAAGGAAACCCAAGGGTTCATAGATGGAACTGACGATGGAAAGGCTTGTGCGTCTGGTTGGAGCTCTGTATTTGAAGGTAAAGGCATCCCTCTGGATGTTTCATTGGATACCTAATGCTCGTTCAAGAGGTGGTTTCTCTCTGTCCAGCTCAAGTAGTTTCACTAATTTGCCTCTGTGACTTTCAGGACTTTCTGGATGTTGCTCACCCATTTGGTCAGAGTAAAACCCCATGGGCGCATCCTTCCTGAGATCCTCGGTGAGTTTGATCACTTGCTTCTTGGAAGCCATTGACTTGAGACGTCGTCCACATCGAGCGCATTCATGCTGTATTTGTCTGAGTTGTCTTTTCCTGCTGCAGGGCAAAATTAGCAATACTTGGGGATGACACATCACCAAAGAAGTGAACCTTCATCCTGAACACTTCCAGTGGCTTAGTAACATCCGCTTTTGGCCACCCCAGAATCTGAGGAAGTCCAGATGGTCTTTATGTACCTTCGCTTGGTAGTACAGCGCTTCAATTTCTTGGCAAGGTTTAATGTATGCATGGATGTTGCAAAACTACATCTTCATCCTGGAAAGGTAAAGCTAAGTCATAATGTCATTGATATTCCTTTTCAGAAAATTCCTGGTTGTACTGCCTGACTAGCAGATCCTCCAGATTATCCAATGAAATGTGATTTACTGTCACTTTAGTTGTTCCAGTTGGCTCCATTGCAGAACAAGAGTTGAACGGGCCATTCGTCATCCTAGTAGCATCTTGACTGTGTTCTGTGGCTGTTGTCGTAGTGGTCACAGAGCTACTGCCCCTTTAAAGAGCCTCTTCAAATTAGAAGTTTCTTTATTTTGATTATTTTGAAATTGGTCTTTGATTGGAAGTTGCCGCTTTAATGTATCCAAACACTGGATGGAATAAGATTTTAAACTGGGTCTCCATGAACTCAACCAGATGTTTAAGTCTAGCTTGTGTGTTTGTTCTCTGGAATCCCCCATAGGCTGTAGTCCGCCATCTTTCTCTGAGCTTGTACAGAGCTTGGAGACAATACATGTCAAGGTCATATCAAGTTCATCCATGTAGTCCAAATCGCAATTTTCATTTTATCACCAAAATGTTTTTTGAACAGTTGTGTGGCTTCTGAATATCCTTTCCTCGCTTCCATGCACAGACAGCTTCGGACAAAATCCCTGGCCCGATCAGATGTAAACTGTTCATGAAAGCAGAGCCTGTCCTGGCTGCTGCTAGTCTTGTCCTCTATTAAATGTTTAAATGCGTGGATGAAAACCAACCATATTTGCTATAATTTATCACCCCCTAAACTGCCTAAAGGATTCTTATCAGAACTTCCTGAACTTTTATCTAGTCTTGTTTTAAACTATTACAGAGCTGTTCTTTGTGGCGATTTTAATATTCATGTTAATGATCCCACCAATGTTCATTCAACTGACTTTTTAAATTCTGCCACTTCTTTTAACTTTAAACATGTCTATGGGCAAACACATAACCGTGCTCATACACTTTTTACCCTGGGTGTCAGCATTTTCTCTGTGGAATTACTGGATATGACTTTATCTGGCCACAAATGTGTAGTTTTAAACTGTGAATCACCACTTACTCACCAAGTTCCTCATTTACTCGCACAAAGGCTTTCAAAGTTTTGCACATTGTTTCAGGGCCAAAGCAGACACCTGTGTGATTCTCACACCAATGATCTGGCTGACCTTTTCAATCATATTTGCTTGTCATCTCTAAATATTATTGCTCCTCTAAAGGTTAGACCTAAGTCTACAGCTGGTGGGCAGCCCTGGAGAAACGACAGCATTCGCAGGAAAGCAGAGCGCAGATGGAAAAAATCCAATTTCAAAGTTTATTACCTCAGTCTGAAGGATTTATTAATTAACTACAATAACATGGTTAAGGATGCGAGAACACACTATTTTCTGAACTCATTACTACACATAAACACAATCCCAGGTTTCTGTTTAAGACTGTGGATCAGCTGGTAAACCCAACCCCTCCTTGTGCCTCAGCTGGAAGTAATGATGACTGTGAATTGTTTTTATCTTATTTTACCAATAAGGTGGTGTCAATCAGAGCCTCTATTACCCCCGCGGCCTCTTACTCAGAGGTTCCTCACCAGCAACAACAGAGTTTTAACCAGTTTTTACAAAGTTTTTACTGAAAGTAATAGATTCTGTTGGGCCCCATTTGATCTCTGTTTTCAACAGCTCCCTATCTACTGGTTGTGTCCCTGATTATTTTAAAACGGCTTGCGTGAACCCACTTTTAAAAAGACCTGGTTTAGATTTTAGACCAATTTCAAAACTGCCTTTTATTGCAAAGATTAGAGAAAGAATTGTGTCCAAACAGCTGCTCATTGTACTGGAAAATAACAAATTATTTGAAAAGTTTCAGTCTGGTTTTAGGAAGTACCACAGCACTGAGACTGCCCTGCTTAAAGTCACCAATGACCTTTTAATGTCTGCTGATGAAGGCATGTGCTCAGTCCTGGTACTCCTGGACCTTAGCGCTGCTTTTGACACCATTGATCACAACATCATGTTAGACAGACTGAGGCACTGGGTGTGGATCTCTGGTACTGCCCTAGAATGGTTTTCATCCTACCTGTCCAACAGGCCCGAGTGGGGCTGGGAACCAGTGAATGCAAGGCATTGCGGTTCCCAGTACCAGTGAAGCTGGGAACCCTATTGTATTCGTTCTCGTTTTTGTTTTTATTCTTCCGCTATAAGCAAGATAATTGAGTTTGGGCTTGGAACTCCCGTATACAAAAGCGCATATCAAAAACCTTATATCCATGCATTCGGGGGATCCAGCCGAATCTCGTGGTATAGGCCACTCCCATTTCCGCCCAGACATTTTTTTTTTAGCAAATTCATGAACTGAAAAATTCATGAATTCATGAAACTGAAAAACCTGTTTTAATTACCTCCTCCAAAACAAGTCCAATTGGCACCAAACTAGCAAGATTGAGTCAGTTTGACAGCCTGAATAAAACCTTCAAATGTATAATCCAAACCTTTATGTCTGCTTCTTTCTGAAATCACTCTTTCATTTTTCCAAAACTTAGACAATATATCTCCAAGGAGAGCAGCTATGGACAGTGGCAGCACTGTGATAGGTCCGACAGGTCAGATAACGTATCGGACTTACACTAGCTAAGAGGGGCGTGGCTTCGTGTAGGGTCAATTGGCACGCACTCTCTGGTCCCCCTTTGTAAATAGGCGAACCACAACTCGGTCTGCCACTCCTTCGGATCTGTTCCCGACTTCCACGCAATGTTAAAGAGGCGTGTCATCCAAGACATCCCCTCCACATCCAAAGCTTTCAGCATTTCTGGACGGATCTCTTCAACCCCCGGGCCTTTGCTACTGTGGAGTTGTTTGACTACCTCAGTGACTTTCACCAGGGAAACTGACAATGATCAGCCTCCAGCTCTGCCTGTTTCATAGTGGAATAGTAGTGGCAGTAAAGTATTCAATAGTCTGTTGCTTGAAGTTTTACAGTTATTTGCTCAGATGTGTTTTCATTTCTTTCAGCTGCTCAGAAACTCTTTATCTTCGTCACCCTCTTTTTCTCACAGGACCTCTTCAGTCCATCAGGTCTTCAGTCCATCAGGTCTTCAGTCCATCAGGTCTTCAGTCAATCGGGTCTTCAGTCCATCGGGTCTTCAGTCCATCAGGTCTTCAGTCAATCGGGTCTTCAGTCCATCAGGTCTTCGAGTTTTCAGTCCATCAGATGAAAATGGCCGCCAGCTCACCGAGAGACAAGTGACTCAAAAACTATTTAAAATATTTTCACTGTGCAGATAATTTGAGAAATCATTCAGAAGCCATAATCAGTGCTGCAGGATGTTATTCTGTTGGACGTTAGAGAAATAAACAATAACCAAACGTAAACTAGTGAAGACAGTAATTTAAAAAAAAAATGTCTCCTGCAGGTATTTTGCCGTCTGGCTGATCTTCTTCATGCTCGGTTTGGGGACGCTGCTGCCCTGGAACTTCTTCATGACTGCTACCATGGTATGACATCACTTCCTGTCTGTTGTTCATCCACACACCATCTGCTCTGAACCAGCTTTTACTTTGAAGGAGAGAAAATGTAACTTTTGTTTACAGTAAAAATACAAAAAAAACAATTTAAGGGGCTAATGGGCTTCTAAATATAATAACACCATGGTTCTGTCTGTCTGTCTCCAGTACTTCACCAGCCGTCTGAAGGACTCCTCAATGAGCCATTCTTCAGCCAATCAGACGGAGGCAGCAGGTGAGCATCGGAGCGTTCTGGAGGCCAAATTCAACAACGTGATGACGCTGTGCGCCATGCTGCCGCTGCTCCTGTGCACTTGCCTCAACTCCTTCCTGCACTCACTGTGAGTACTACAACACAGCAACACCAACAAAGAAGAGTCCTCCAACAGAAAGAGTACAGGTCCTGGGCCCTTCAGGACACACCCAGAGGACTTTTCAGGTCCTCATGGTTTTCTAACTGAGCAGACTCAAGAAGATCAGACTTTCTGCTGGCTTTCTAGGACCAAGGTTTCCAGCGGCCCCTAAAGAAATATGACAGATTTTATTTCATAAATAAATTACATAAATTATAAAGTTTGTTTGTAAACAACAGGAGTTTCTTCTTCTTAATTTTATTCATCCTCTGTGATTCCTGCTGCTGTCTGAACTGTCTGGTCCAGTTCAGACTTTATCTGGTCTCGGTTCTGAAACGCTCCTTCCTGTGTCAGTGTTTCTCAGCGCCTCCGTGTGATGGGCAGTCTGCTCGTCATTATGTCCGTCTTCATGGTCACCGCCGTCCTCGTCAAAGTTCCTCTGGAGCCGCTGCCATTCTTCTCCGTTACCATGGTGAAGATCGTCATCATCAACTGTGAGTCTGTTTGTTTACAGCCTTCGGGGCGGTGCTGCAGGGCAGTCTGTTTGATGTTTGTTTGTTTGTTTGTTTACAGCCTTTGGGGCGTTGCTGCAGGGCAGTCTGTTTGATGTTTGTTTGTTTGTTTACAGCCTTCGGGGCGGTGCTGCAGGGCAGTCTGTTTGATGTTTGTTTGTTTGTTTACAGCCTTTGGGGCAGTGCTGCAGGGCAGTCTGTTTGATGTTTGTTTGTTTGTTTACAGCCTTTGGGGCAGTGCTGCAGGGCAGTCTGTTTGATGTTTGTTTGTTTGTTTACAGCCTTCGGGGCAGTGCTGCAGGGCAGTCTGTTTGATGTTTGTTTGTTTGTTTGTTTACAGCCTTTGGGGCAGTGCTGCAGGGCAGTCTGTTTGATGTTTGTTTGTTTGTTTGTTTACAGCCTTTGGGGCGTTGCTGCAGGGCAGTCTGTTTGATGTTTGTTTGTTTGTTTACAGCCTTCGGGGAGGTGCTGCAGGGCAGTCAGATGTTTGTTTGTTTGTTTACAGCCTTCGGGCAGGTGCTGCAGGGCAGTCAGATGTTTGTTTGTTTGTTTGTTTAAAGCCTTCGGGGCAGTGCTGCAGGGTAGTTAGTTTGATGTTTGTTTGTTTGTTTGTTTACAGCCTTCAGGGCGGTGCTGCAGGGCAGTCTGTTTGATGTTTGTTTGTTTGTTTGTTTGTTTACAGCCTTCAGGGAGGTGCTGCAGGGCAGTCAGATGTTTCTTTGTTTGTTTGTTTAAAGCCTTCGGGGCAGTGCTGCAGGGTAGTTAGTTTGATGTTTCTTTGTTTGTTTGTTTGTTTACAGCCTTCAAGGCAGTGCTGCAGGGCAGTTAGTTTGATGTTTCTTTGTTTGTTTTTTTGTTTGTTTACAGCCTTCGGGGCGGTGCTGCAGGGCAGTTAGTTTGATGCTTGTTTGCTTGTTTGTTTACAGCCTTCGGGGTGGTGCTGCAGGGAAGTCTGTTTGTTTGTTTGTTTGTTTTTTGTTTACAGCCTTCGGGGAGGTGCTGCAGGGCAGTCAGATGTTTGTTTGTTTGTTTGTTTAAAGCCTTCGGGGCAGTGCTGCAGGGTAGTTAGTTTGATGTTTGTTTGTTTGTTTGTTTGTTTACAGCCTTCAGGGCGGTGCTGCAGGGCAGTCTGTTTGATGTTTGTTTTGTTTGTTTAAACCCTTCGGGGCGGTGCTGCAGGGTAGTTAGTTTGATGTTTGTTTGTTTGTTTGTTTGTTTTTTTACAGCCTTCAGGGCGGTGCTGCAGGGTAGTTAGTTTGATGTTTGTTTGTTTGTTTACAGCCTTCAGGGCGGTGCTGCAGGGCAGTCTGTTTGATGTTTGTTTTGTTTGTTTAAACCCTTCGGGGCGGTGCTGCAGGGTAGTTAGTTTGATGTTTGTTTGTTTGTTTGTTTGTTTGTTTACAGCCTTCAGGGCGGTGCTGCAGGGTAGTTAGTTTGATGTTTGTTTGTTTGTTTACAGCCTTCAGGGCGGTGCTGCAGGGCAGTCTGTTTGATGTTTGTTTGTTTACAGCCTTCAGGGCAGTGCTGCAGGGTAGTTAGTTTGATGTTTGTTTGTTTGTTTACAGCCTTCAGGGCGGTGCTGCAGGGCAGTCTGTTTGATGTTTGTTTTGTTTGTTTGTTTAAACCCTTCGGGGCGGTGCTGCAGGGTAGTTAGTTTGATGTTTGTTTGTTTGTTTGTTTGTTTTTTTACAGCCTTCGGGGAGGAGCTGCAGGGCAGTCTGTTTGATGTTTGTTTGTTTGTTTGTTTGTTTAAAGCCTTCTGGGAGGTGCTGCAGGGCAGTCAGATGTTTGTTTGTTTGTTTGTTTAAAGCCTTCAGGGCAGTGCTGCAGGGTAGTTAGTTTGATGTTTGTTTGTTTGTTTGTTTACAGCCTTCAGGGCGGTGCTGCAGGGCAGTCTGTTTGATGTTTGTTTTGTTTGTTTAAACCCTTCGGGGCGGTGCTGCAGGGTAGTTAGTTTGATGTTTGTTTGTTTGTTTGTTTGTTTTTTTACAGCCTTCAGGGCGGTGCTGCAGGGCAGTCTGTTTGATGTTTGTTTGTTTACAGCCTTCAGGGCAGTGCTGCAGGGTAGTTAGTTTGATGTTTGTTTGTTTGTTTACAGCCTTCAGGGCGGTGCTGCAGGGCAGTCTGTTTGATGTTTGTTTTGTTTGTTTGTTTAAACCCTTCGGGGCGGTGCTGCAGGGTAGTTAGTTTGATGTTTGTTTGTTTGTTTGTTTGTTTTTTTACAGCCTTCGGGGAGGAGCTGCAGGGCAGTCTGTTTGATGTTTGTATGTTTGTTTGTTTGTTTGTTTAAAGCCTTCTGGGAGGTGCTGCAGGGCAGTCAGATGTTTGTTTGTTTGTTTGTTTGTTTAAAGCCTTCAGGGCAGTGCTGCAGGGTAGTTAGTTTGATGTTTGTTTGTTTGTTTGTTTACAGCCTTCAGGGCGGTGCTGCAGGGGAGTCTGTTTGATGTTTGTTTTGTTTGTTTAAACCCTTCGGGGCGGTGCTGCAGGGTAGTTAGTTTGATGTTTGTTTGTTTGTTTGTTTGTTTTTTTACAGCCTTCAGGGCGGTGCTGCAGGGCAGTCTGTTTGATGTTTGTTTGTTTAAAGCCTTCAGGGCAGTGCTGCAGGGTAGTTAGTTTGATGTTTGTTTGTTTGTTTACAGCCTTCAGGGCGGTGCTGCAGGGCAGTCTGTTTGATGTTTGTTTTGTTTGTTTGTTTAAACCCTTCGGGGTGGTGCTGCAGGGTAGTTAGTTTGATGTTTGTTTGTTTGTTTGTTTGTTTTTTTACAGCCTTCGGGGAGGAGCTGCAGGGCAGTCAGATGTTTGTTTGTTTGTTTAAAGCCTTCAGGGCAGTGCTGCAGGGTAGTTAGTTTGATGTTTGTTTGTTTACAGCCTTCAGGGCGGTGCTGCAGGGCAGTCTGTTTGATGTTTGTTTGTTTGTTTGTTTAAAGCCTTCTGGGAGGTGCTGCAGGGTAGTTAGTTTGATGTTTGTTTGTTTGTTTGTTGACAGCCTTCAGGGCGGTGCTGCAGGGCAGTCTGTTTGATGTTTGTTTGTTTGTTTGTTTGTTTAAAACCTTCAGGGCAGTGCTGCAGGGCAGTCTGTTTGATGTTTGTTTGTTTGTTTAAAGCCTTCAGGGCGGTGCTGCAGGGTAGTTAGTTTGATGTTTGTTTGTTTAAAGCCTTCGGTGCAGTGCTGCAGGGTAGTTAGTTTGTAGTTTGTTTGTTTGTTTGTTTGTTTGTTTACAGCCTTTGGGGCGGTGCTGCAGGGCAGTTAGTTTGATGTTTCTTTGTTTGTTTTTTTGTTTGTTTACAGCCTTTGGGGTGGTGCTGCAGGGCAGTCTGTTTGATGTTTGTTTGCTTGTTTGTTTACAGCCTTCGGGGCGGTGCTGCAGGGCAGTTAGTTTATGTTTGTTTGCATGTTTGTTTACTGCCTTTGGGGCGGAGCTGCAGGGCAGTTAGTTTGATGTTTTTTTTTGTTTATTTGTTTACAGCCTTCGGCGCGGTGCTGCAGGGCAGTCTGTTTGATGTTTGTTTGTTTGTTTGCTTGTTTGTTTACAGCCTTTGGGGCGGTGCTGCAGGGCAGTTAGTTTATTTTTGTTTGCTTGTTTGTTTACAGCCTTTGGGGTGGTGCTGCAGGGCAGTCTGTTTGATATTTGTTTGTTTACAGCCTTCGGGGCGGTGCTGCAGGGCAGTCTGTTTGTTTGTTTGTTTACAGCCTTCAGGGCGGTTCTGCAGGGCAGTCTGTTTGATGTTTGTTTGTTTGTTTGTTTTTTTACAGCCTTCAGGGCGGTGCTGCAGGGTAGTTAGTTTGATGTTTGTTTGTTTGTTTACAGCCTTCAGGGCGGTGCTGCAGGGCAGTCTGTTTGATGTTTGTTTGTTTACAGCCTTCAGGGCAGTGCTACAGGGTAGTTAGTTTGATGTTTGTTTGTTTGTTTACAGCCTTCAGGGCGGTGCTGCAGGGCAGTCTGTTTGATGTTTGTTTTGTTTGTTTATTTGTTTACAGCCTTCGGCGCGGTGCTGCAGGGCAGTCTGTTTGATGTTTGTTTGTTTACAGCCTTCAGGGCGGTGCTGCAGGGTAGTTAGTTTGATGTTTGTTTGTTTGTTTACAGCCTTCAGGGCGGTTCTGCAGGGCAGTCTGTTTGATGTTTGTTTGTTTGTTTGTTTGTTTACAGCCTTCAGGGCGGTGCTGCAGGGTAGTTAGTTTGATGTTTGTTTGTTTGTTTACAGCCTTCAGGGCGGTGCTGCAGGGCAGTCTGTTTGATGTTTGTTTGTTTACAGCCTTCAGGGCAGTGCTGCAGGGTAGTTAGTTTGATGTTTGTTTGTTTGTTTACAGCCTTCAGGGCGGTGCTGCAGGGCAGTCTGTTTGATGTTTGTTTGTTTGTTTACAGCCTTCGGCGCGGTGCTGCAGGGCAGTCTGTTTGATGTTTGTTTGTTTGTTTGCTTGTTTGTTTACAGCCTTCGGGGCGGTGCTGCAGGGCAGTTAGTTTATTTTTGTTTGCTTGTTTGTTTACAGCCTTTGGGGTGGTGCTGCAGGGCAGTCTGTTTGATGTTTGTTTGTTTGTTTGCTTGTTTGTTTACAGCCTTTGGGGCGGTGCTGCAGGGGAGTTTGTTTGGGATGGCTGGGCTGCTGCCGGCTTTGTATACGACTCCCATAATGAGCGGTCAGGGACTCGCTGGAACATTTGCCGCCTTCGCCATGATCTGCGCCATCGCAAGTCTGATCAATAATTCATCTGATTTAGTGTCATTTTACAAAAATATCTCTTCTCTTTATTTATTTGTTTATTTTCTACTATTGAAGATAATATAAATAAATAAATAATAAATTTCTCCTTTCAACGCCTCCTCTCCTCTTGCCTCCTTTCTTGTCTCCTTTCCTCCCCTCCTCTTCTCTTGCCTCCTCCACTTCCTTCCTCTCCTCTTTCCTCCTTTCCTTCCTTCCTCTCCTCTTGCCTCCTTTCCTTCCTTCCTCTTCTCTTGTCTCCTTTCCTTCCTTCCTCTCTTCTTGTCTCCTTTCTTGCCTCCTTTCCTCCCCTCCTCTCCTCTTGCCTCCTTTCCTTCCTTCCTCTCCTCTTTCCTCCTTTCTTTCCTTCCTCTCCTCTTGCCTCCTATACTTCCTTCCACTTCTCTTGTCTCCTTTCTTGCCTCCTCCCCTTCCTTCCTCTCCTCTTGCCTCCTTTCCTTCCTTCCTCTTCTTTTGTCTCCTTTCCTCTCCTCCTCTTCTCTTGCCTCCTCCCCTTCCTTCCTCTCCTCTTTCCTCCTTTCTTTCCTTCCTCTCCTCTTGCCTCCTATACTTCCTTCCACTTCTCTTGTCTCCTTTCTTATCTCCTTTTCTCCCCTCCTCTCCTCTTGCCTCCTCCCCTTCCTTCCTCTCCTCTTGCTTCCTTTCCTTTCTTCCTCTTCTCTTGCCTCCTCCCCTTCCTTCCTCTCCTCTTGCTTCCTTTCCTTTCTTCCTCTTCTCTTGTCTCCTTTTCTCTCCTCCTCTCCTCGTGCCTCCTTTCCTTCCTTCCTCTCCTCTTGTCTCCTTTCCTCCCCTCCTCTCCTCTTGCCTCCTTTCCTTCCTTCCTCTCCTCTTGTCTCCTTTCTTGTCTCCTTTCCTCCCCTTCTCTCCTCTTGCCTCCTCCCCTTCCTTCCTCTCCTCTTGTCTCCTCCCCTTCCTTCCTTTCCTCTTGTTTCCTCCCCTCCACTCCTCTCCTCTTACTTCCTCCCCTTCCTTCCTCTCCTCTTGCCTCCTTTTGTGCCTCCTTTCCTCCCCTCCTCTCCTCTTGCCTCCTCCCCTTCCTTTCTCTCCTCTTGTCTCCTTTCCTCCCCTCCTCTCCTCTTGCCTCCTCCCCTTCCTTCCTCTCCTCTTGTCTCCTTTATTCCCCTCCTCTCCTCTTGCCTCCTCCCCTTCCTTCCTCTCCTCTTGTCTCCTTTATTCCCCTCCTCTCCTCTTGCCTCCTCCCCTTCCTTTCTCTCCTCTTGTCTCCTTTCCTCCCCTCCTCTCCTCTTGCCTCCTTTCCTCCCCTTCTCTCCTCTTGCCTCCTCCCCTTCCTTCCTCTCCTCTTGTCTCCTCCCCTTCCTTCCTTTCCTCTTGTTTCCTCCCCTCCCCTCCTCTCCTCTTACCTCCTCCCCTTCCTTCCTCTCCTCTTGCCTCCTTTCTTGCCTCCTTTCCTCCCCCTCCTCTCCTCTTGCCTCCTCCCCTTCCTTCCTCTCCTCTTATCTCCTTTATTCCCCTCCTCTCCTCTTGCCTCCTCCACTCCCCTCATCTCCTCTTGCCTCCTCCCCTTCCTTCCTCTCCTCTTGCCTCCTCCCCTTCCTTCCTTTCCTCTTGTTTCCTCCCCTCCCCTCCTCTCCTCTTACCTCCTCCCCTTCCTTCCTCTCCTCTTGCCTCCTCCCCTTCCTTCCTTTCCTCTTGTTTCCTCCCCTCCCCTCCTCTCCTCTTACCTCCTCCCCTTCCTTCCTCTCCTCTTGCCTCCTTTCTTAACCTCCTTTCCTCCCCTCCTCTCCTCTTTCCTCCTCCCCTTCCTTTCTCTCCTCTTTTCTCCTTTCCTCCCCTCCTCTCCTCTTCCCTCCTCCCCTTCCTTCCTCTCCTCTTGTCTCCTTTATTCCCCTCCTCTCCTCTTTCCTCCTCCCCTCCCCTCATCTCCTCTTGCCTCCTCCCCTTCCTTCCTCTCCTCTTGCTTCCTTTCCTTCCTTCCTCTCCTCTTTCCTCCTCCCCTCCCCTCATCTCCTCTTGCCTCCTCCCCTTCCTTTCTCTCCTCTTGTCTCCTTTCCTCCCCTCCTCTCCTCTTGCCTCCTCCCCTTCCTTCCTCTCCTCTTGTCTCCTTTATTCCCCTCCTCTCCTCTTGCCTCCTCCCCTTCCTTCCTCTCCTCTTGTCTCCTTTATTCCCCTCCTCTCCTCTTGCCTCCTCCCCTTCCTTTCTCTCCTCTTGTCTCCTTTACTCCCCTCATCTCCTCTTGCCTCCTTTCCTCCCCTTCTCTCCTCTTGCCTCCTCCCCTTCCTTCCTCTCCTCTTGCCTCCTCCCCTTCCTTCCTTTCCTCTTGTTTCCTCCCCTCCCCTCCTCTCCTCTTACCTCCTCCCCTTCCTTCCTCTCCTCTTGCCTCCTTTCTTGCCTCCTTTCCTCCCCTCCTCTCCTCTTGCCTCCTCCCCTTCCTTCCTCTCCTCTTGTCTCCTTTATTCCCCTCCTCTCCTCTTGCCTCCTCCACTCCCCTCATCTCCTCTTGCCTCCTCCCCTTCCTTCCTCTCCTCTTGCTTCCTTTCCTTCCTTCCTCTCCTCTTTCCTCCTCCCCTCCCCTCATCTCCTCTTGCCTCCTCCCCTTCCTTCCTTTCCTCTTGTTTCCTCCCCTCCCCTCCTCTCCTCTTACCTCCTCCCCTTCCTTCCTCTCCTCTTGCCTCCTTTCTTGCCTCCTTTCCTCCCCTCCTCTCCTCTTTCCTCCTCCCCTTCCTTTCTCTCCTCTTGTCTCCTTTCCTCCCCTCCTCTCCTCTTGCCTCCTTTCCTCCCCTCCTCTCCTCTTGCCTCCTCCCCTTCCTTCCTCTCCTCTTGTCTCCTTTATTCCCCTCCTCTCCTCTTTCCTCCTCCCCTCCCCTCATCTCCTCTTGCCTCCTCCCCTTCCTTCCTCTCCTCTTGCTTCCTTTCCTTCCTTCCTCTCCTCTTTCCTCCTCCCCTCCCCTCATCTCCTCTTGCCTCCTCCCCTTCCTTCCTCTCCTCTTGCTTCCTTTCCTTCCTTCCTCTCCTCTTTCCTCCTCCCCTCCCCTCATCTCCTCTTGCCTCCTCCCCTTCCTTCCTCTCCTCTTGCCTCCTCCCCTTCCTTCCTCTCCTCTTGCTTCCTTTCCTTCCTTCCTCTCCTCTTTCCTCCTCCCCTCCCCTCATCTCCTCTTGCCTCCTCCCCTTCCTTTCTCTCCTTTCCTCCCCTCCTCTCCTCTAGGTGGTTCAGACCTTCAGGATGCAGCATTCGGTTACTTCATTACAGCCTGTGTTGTTATTTTTCTGTCCGTCCTCTCCTACGTCCTGCTGCCTAAACTGGTAAATAACACACACACACACACACACCTGACCAGTGTTGGGCAAGTTACTCACGTGCGATGTAGGAATCCAATCAGACTACATGCTTTATAAATGTTTAAATGTGCCTTCCAGGAGTTTTTCCAGTTTTATCAGGAGAGAAACAGGAAACAGAGATCAGACAAGGAGAACTCAGTAAATCTGATGAACACAGGTATGAAATAAACACGTCGACACTGAACACACCTGCAGAAACAGAAACACCGATTTCCTTTAGTTTTAATTCACTTTAGTTCATTTAATGAACTGAGTTTGATTCAGTTTGTATTGACGCAACTGAACCAAACTGGAAAGTTTTACAGATTTCGAGTTATTTTCATAAACTTTCCTGTTTTGAAGTACAGTTGATGAATGTATTTAGTAAAAAGTGGAATGTGTGAGTGTTTCTTGTCCTTCTTCCTCAGAGAGTAAAGGTGAAGCAGCTGATCAGAACCAACATCAGAACATCTCCGTGATGACCATCTTTAAGAAGGTCACTTTTCATTGGTGTTCACAAAAAGAGGATCAGTGTTTCTTTGCAGCAGTTTCATGTGTGAATCTTAGTTTAGTTGAAGATGGCGCCTAAGACAGGCGGCTGTTCAGGATCCTTATTATTGTTGCTAATTGATTAACCATGTGTATCCGCCGATCTTTGACCTTCAGATCTGGCGGCTGGCTCTGTTGGTCTGTTTCACCTTTACAGTCACCATCGGCACGTTTCCCGCCATCACCGCCGACACCATATCCACCCTCGCTGATGGAGGCTCCTGGGGTGAGTTATAATCCAGTTTTTTTTCTTCTGTGGTGGTCTCGTGATGTTTTGCTTTATTTCTATTTCACAAAGACAGACTTTGACTATGGCTTAGATACAGTCGACATTCAGACCGCTGCACAAAGCACTGAAGACCCTGACTATATTAAGTAGGACCACACTGCAATGAATTCTGGGTAAAATAAGACACTTTTCAAAACAAAACAAATGGCGGATCGAGAAGGCGCACCAAACCACTAAGTGGCGCTTACCCCAGCGGAAAATACGTGTTTGTGGGAGCAGTATAATAGTGATTAGGACTTTTTACTTGAGAAGTTTAAAGGGGAGTGAGGTGACCAAAACTGCTGAGCGGAGCGTCAGAGATGTGCAGAAAAGATCCAAGAACATGGTACCAGATACCAAAAAAGAAATATCCTAAAACAGGAGGAGGCGGGGCTTCAGCTGGACCATCCGTCAGAGTCAGGAGAGCTTCCCCGACCGATGAATGTCCTCATTATTGTATATTTCCAGCAGGTTCCTGCGGCCCCTGAAAACTCTTTCCCTTCTCAGAGCTCTCTGCATGATATCAGCAGCAAACCACTAACTATGAGACGTTTTCCCTGTTTTTAGTGGTTACCAAGGTAACATCGAATCTTGGACCTAAGTTAACCCGGGGGTTAGGTGTCTCGTTTTTTTGGTCTAAACTTAGTCCGTCTTTATTTTTGTGGTACAATACAAAAATCAATAAAAATAATAACAGTTCTTAAAATAGCCATAATATTGATAATGCTGTAATCTTGATCAGGCTGATAATAATTGTAGCTGCAGGTGTTGAGCAGGAACAGAGGGCCAGTAGGTACTCACAGAATTAGAAAAGTACGTCCGCACAGAAATCTCCACATGTAGGAAACCAGGCGTCCAGCAGCACCTGCGCACCTTTCCTTTAGGGCGGCACAGTGATCCAGTGGATAGCACAGGGCGGCAAGAAGGTCCCGGGTTCAAACCCGGTCACCTGCCTGGGTTTCCTCCACGTCAGGTTCTCCAGTCAGTGCCGTTGTCCATTGGCAGTGGCACAGACCAAGAGCTGGTGCCGGGTGCTGCCCACGGCTGCCCACTCAATCATTCATCATCAATCATCTCAAACTGAGAATGAAATGAAATGAAATTGAGAGCACATGCACGAGCCATAAACCCCGCCTTGGCTGCTCCCATAAATGACTATGCAAATGAGCAGAAACACGCCAGCGCCACATCCTGAGGTCCAAATATTGACTGCTGCAAAACAGGTGAAGGAGAGAAACTTGACCGGGTGCTGATCGCTGACGGGAGCCGAGGTTTATGTGATGGTTTGAACTCAACAGGAATAGCAGCAAACGCAGTGTGAGCGCGGCAGAGTGGCAGTCAGCACAGCCAAAGTCCTTTTAGGCAAGTCCTGCCACTAGGCCGCCATCTGGGTGACGTCTCCGGGCAGCTATTTCGGACTAAGCAGAACTTTCACCGGGACATAAAAACTACACAAACAGAATCTGCATTAAAATCTGATAATACTTGCTGAAAAAGTTTGACGACTTTGCCCCAAAATAAGTTATAATAATTTAAAAAGCGTTTTTCCCGACCGGTTCTACTTCTACTACGCATGCGTCACCTCTTCCACACATGTGCAGTACAAGTAATACAGACCCTTACGTCAGTGGAGCCACACAGTGGCTGAAATATGTTTCCTGCTCTGGCTGTTAAAAGCAGATGATTGGCTTTCTAGCGGGAGGGGCGGGATAACCGCCATCTTTGCCGTTACAGACTTTCCCCGTAGAGTTATACTGAGGATGTGACTGAGTGGCGTGCCTCCTGCTTGTGAGGTGGAAGTTCGAAGCACATAGACACTGAGAGTTGAGTTATGGCTCCCGTGCATGACCTTAAATAACCCGGCTGGTTTGAAAGTTTAAATGATGAAGTGATAACGTGTGATAGGAAGTGAAATTATAAATACGTGAGGGCCATTATTATCTTTTCCTCTTATGTTCAATTTTATTTTGAAATCAAACATTCACATACATGATCAACCTTTGATTGTGTATCAACGGACATGAGTTGGTTTTTATACTTCATGGCACAGTAACTGGAGTGGAAACGCTGTTTTATTATTAGTTTCAGCCAGACAGAAGTACGTGGAGGGTTTTTATACAGCGTGCTGTCACAACCTGGCTCAACAGCAAGTGACAAAAGCGGGAAACCACACAGTCTGAAAATAATAATAGAGATTTTAATAAGTAGGAGCCGGAGATCAAACCATCTGATTGGTGGCCGAGCCGCTCTACCCCCTGAGCCACAGAGAAAGTTATGTGGGATCATCTTCTGCTTGAAGCTCAGTCATGATTTAAGTGCTTCAGCTTGGAAAATGTTGTTCTGTGAAGAACCTGTTGTAGCGGCTGAGGTCGTGTCCTGCTGAGTCAGCAGGTTACACCTTTCATCAGGGTGGGTGTCGCTCGTCTCTGTGGGTCCGATGGTGAATCGTAGACCTGACCTCTGTTGATCTCCTTATATTGCTCGTACTGTAAGTAAGTATGACCACTGCGTGCTGGTGGAACTGTGAGCTCACACTGGTGTCATTGCAGAGCATTTTAACTCTCGATTGGTTGGGGCCCTTTCCTTAGGTTGTGGCGCCTTCTGTGATGCCTGTAACCACGCTGTCCGCCTGAGACAGACAGACCCTTCTCCCTCAGATTTTAAACAATATTAATCGTTTCTTCAACTTGCCTTTTGATTACTTTTTTTTCTATAACAGACCAGTATTTCATCCCAGTCAGCTGTTTCCTTCTCTTTAACCTGTGTGACTGGTGTGGGCGGAGCTTAACGGCCGTCTGTATGTGGGTGAGTTTAATATCAAACACCCGACATTAAAAGATCCAGAGACACCAAATACATCCTCCTCTCCACCCGGCTGAAAATCAATTATCGATCTGTTTCCAGCCTGCAAAGGACGGCCTCTTACTTCCTGTGTTCATCGTTTGCCGCCTCGCCTTCGTCCCTCTCTTCATGTTGTGTAACGTTCAGCCTCGTCTTCACCTGCCTGTCTTCTTTCTTCACGATGGCTGGTTCATCGTCTTCATGATTCTCTTCGCCTTCAGTAACGGATACCTGGCCAGCCTGTGCATGTGCTTTGGACCAAAGTAAGAAAGGGATCAGGAAACATCCAACATACCAAATTCTCTTTACTTCACTCTAGTCTACTTTTGGAGACTCTAGGAACCACAAGTAACCCTGCATTCTGGGAGCGCAGTGCTCTGGTGGGGTAGTAAGGTACTATGAGCTCTTTAAGATAAGATGGTGCCTGACCATTAAGAGCTTTGTAGGTAAGAAGAATGATTTTAAATTCTATTCTGGATTTTACTGGAAGCCAATGCAAAGAAGCTAAAACAGGAGAAATGTGATCTCTTTTCCTGGTTCCTGTCAGAACACGTGCTGCAGCATTCTGGATCAGCTGAAGAGTCTTAATGGACTTTTTCGAGCAGCCTGATAATAAGGAATTGCAGTAATTCAGCCTAGAAGTAACAAATGCATGGACTAGTTTTTCTGCATCATTTTTAGACAGGATGTTCCTGATTTTCGCAATATTACATAGGTGAAAAAAGGCGGTCCTTGAAATTTGCTTAATGTGAGACTTAAACAACATGTCCTGATCAAAGATAACTCCAAGATTCCTCACAGTGGTGCTGGAGGCCAGGTCGATGCCATCAAGGGAAACTATATCTTTAGAGAGAGATGCTTGGGCCCCAGAAGGCACATTTGAAGTTTAGCTAACTGATGAGTTTTATCTGGCTTGATCGATAGATATAACTGAGTATCATCTGCATAACAATGAAAGCTTATGGAATATTTCCTGATAATATTGCCTAAAGGAAGCATATATAAAGTGAAGAGGATTGGTCCAAGGACAGATCCTTGAGGAACTCCATGACTAACTTTGGCGTGCATGGAGGACTCATCGTTAACATGTACAAACTGAAATCGATCTGATAAATAGGACTTAAACCAGCTTAGAGCGGTTCCTTTAATGCCAATGAAATGTTCCAGTCTCTGCAATAGGATCTGATGGTCAATGGTATCAAATGCAGCACTACGATCTAATAAAACCAGTACAGAGACAAGTCCTTTGTCTGATGCAATAAGGAGGTCGTTAGTAATTTTCACCAGTGCTGTCTCTGTGCTATGATGAGCTCTAAATCCTGACTGAAAATCCTCAAATAAACTATTGCTCTTTAGAAAGTCACACAGCTGTTTAGCAACTGCTTTCTCCAGAACCTTAGAGAGAAATGGAAGGTTAGATATAGGTCTATAGTTGGCTAAAACATCCGGATCAAGTTTGGGCTTTTTCAGAAGAGGTTTAATTACAGCTACTTTAAAGTACTGTGGTACATAGCCTGTTGATAGAGATAGATTGATCATATCTAGTATAGAGGTGCTGACTAAGGGTAAAACATCTTTAAGCAGCCTACTCGGGATGGGGTCTAAGAGGCAGGTTGATGGTTTAGATGAAGAAATTATTGAAGTTAGTTGGTAAAGATTGAGGGAAGCAAAACAGTCTAAACATGTATCTGGTTCTACAGCTGTTTCTAAGGTTCCTGAGTTTAGAGATAAGTCGGTGCCAGTTGAGGGCAGGTCTTGGTGAATTTTGTCTCTAATAGTTAGAATTTTATCATTAAAGAAGCTCATGAAGTCGTAACTACTGAGAGCTATGGGAATACTTGGCTCAATAGAGCTGTGACTATCTGTCAGCCTGGCTACAGTGCTGAAAAGAAACCTGGGGTTGTTCCTATTTTCCTCTATTAATGACTCACAGTGAATTAAAAATGAAATACTTTGTAATAAATGTAAAGTTGATGAATAAATGCTGTTTCTACTGTTCTACAGGAACGTTCTTCCTCATGAAGCGGAAACAGCTGGAACCATCATGGCGTTCTTTCTGTCTCTGGGTTTGGCTTTAGGAGCTGCTCTGTCCTTCCTCTTCAGAGCACTGGTCTAACTGGGAAACTACATGTGGATGACTGGTTAAACTGGATCACTAGCTGTCTGCCACTGGATTAACAACACTGTAGTTGTCACTGGTCTGACCGTAAACAGTGAAGCCTGTTAAAGACATGAGGCCTGACAGGACAATGACTGGCTGCATACATATTGTTATTAATGTATAGTCATAGAAACAGAGTGTTTAATGTTGTTTTCTTCATGTCTGACAGGGACATTTCCATAAATATTAAATATATTTAAAGTCACTGAATAAACCAGACAAGCATTTAAACTGTAATTCAGTTTTTTCCACGATGACTTCAGAGAGAAGAAACCTGTTAAATATCAGCTTTATAACTGTTTTATTGAAATATAACAATGAGCCTTTTGGAATCAATTATTTATAACATGTACTTTTTACCCTTCTATAGTCATTCTGGCGAGTTCTAATAAAATACGACATAATGCAGTAATTGCTCTTAGGAACCTTTTGAGGTGAAAAACAGAATCCAAAGCAGACAGATGTGTTTTACATATTTTTCATTAGCCTGCATTAAAATACCACAGGTAGCTACATTTTGGCCTTATGGTAGCACATTGGCTAGTTTGTGGTTACTAGGTTTCATAATTGGAGAAGACGACGCATGCACCAAACTTTACAGTGAGCAACAGCGAGGAGGTTACTGTCACGGTTGGCCGTGTTTTCAGGTAGGAACAGGTTTTGAGCTGAGCAGACTAAACTAAAATGATGCAGAGAAAGAACTAGAAGCAAATACTACGACAAGAACTAAGGCACAGGACTGGGAACAAAGACATGGAACCAAAACCGACTATATTACACTATATTATACTATAATAACAGATACTGAACCGACAAAACAATAACTCAGAGAAACTCAAAACACAACAGACTATATAACTGATACTGGACACAGGACGGCACCCAAAACAATAAGACAGATACTAAACAGACTATAAATAACACGACTGACTGAAAACAACCAACAGACCAAAACAGAACAGACACGCCCATAGTATGACAGTTATGTGGAATAAAAGCACATAAAAATAAAAAACATCAAAAAGTAACACAGACACAGTAATAAGAAAGTGTGGCAGACAACAGTGGACTGACTGAATGTGTGAGAAGCTAAAACTGGTAATTGGTGCACTGGACGTTAATATGTCACTCCAAAAATGTACAGCAACTAAAAACTATATATAGGATATATGGCATCAGTCCAGTTTCCTCAGCACCTCTTTTTATCTCCACATGTCGGTCCAAGTCCTGCCGGGGTTTTTATTCTATGTTGTTAAATTCAGTTCAGACATCTGCCAGTTTGTAAAACACTTACCATCGCGCAGCAGGAAGTGTTCACCTGTGGACGTCCTTCAGGTAATACTGACCGGCTGTCAGACCTCAGAGATGCTACAGGATTTTCTTTGAGCACCACATCACTGACTTCTTAGCAAATTCAAATCAGCTTTATTGGCATGAATGTATAACAACAATGTGGCCAAAGCTACAAATAAATGACATAAGAACAATAGATTCATACATTTGATTAAATAAGTGACTTCTCTATTCTCCATATTGACTAATCAAGTAAACCGTCGTCACACAGAACTGACGGACGTCCAGCCGCTCTGCCAAGCCTACTAGAGATATACGCTTTAAAAGCATTTGTTGAAAATGTTGAATCACTGAAAACGCTTTAAGAAAGGTTTATTTGCACAATAAGAAAACAGGCGATGCAAACATAGAAGAAACAAATGTGTCCGAAACAGTAACTTCAGCTAAAAGAACCAGGTGCTGTTTTTAGATTTTGAACGGTCACCTGCCAGCTGCATGTTGTGTTTTCACCATAAACTGGTGCAGAATATTTCTCCAGAAGTGTTTAATGCTAAAAAACGTCAGACTCCCACTCAGATATCTCGAATATTACTTCAAAATAGGCTCTATATGTATGTATATATATATAAATAAACATACACACATTAGTATGAGAAAAAGAATAACTTGTTGTGAAATGGCGCTATAGAAATAAAACTGAATTGAATAGATAGTCTGTTGATTGGTGGTTGTCATTAATACACTTGCTGAGTGACACGTTAACGTCCACTGCTCACCTTTAAGCTCTGACGTGACGTTAGCCTACCAGGAACGATGACGCTCTCAGTTTAGAGCAGTGATATTTTTAGCTCCTCACTCAGTCAGTCGGCCGTCTGTTTTCTGCCACGCCTTTTCTCTCTGTTTTCATCCTGCGGCCGACTTTCTTTCTTTCTTTCTTTTTATATTGTGTTCATTTTTTGTCAGCTTCCATGACTCTGTGATCGACCGTGTGGTCTGTTGACGGGCATCTATCTGATCACTTCCACCTGGCCGGACGCAGCCGCTCCTCCTGAGCTGGTTTGGCCTTCGTGAGACGGATGAAGCAGGATGGCTGTCTGGAGTACATTGTCTACCTTTGTTCCCCGTTGTCTGATTATTCCCTGTGTTACTCGTTTAGCCTGTTGATGAACAAAAGCCTCATCAATGGATCAACACGTTAACATCAGCACTTTTTATTCATCATCTACCAGACTGGGATGATAAAGTGCTGGAACTCTCCTCCAGCCTATTACATTAATTTAAATAGCTACAGGTCTGTTTATTCAGCCGTAACCTGACGGGACTAAAGTGTCAACAACTGAAGAGGAAATTATTAGATAAGACACAGTTTACTCATGGACCTGTGATTGGAAAGCCGCAGTCCGACCCAGCAGGTGAGCCTGTGTTTGCAGTGGAAAATGTGTCTGTAGGTTCAAACTGACTGCAAAGTTTTAGACGTCCATGTTACAGTATTTAATGAAATGCTGTCAAAACACATTCAGACTGTCAGCAGCTAAAAATGAAAAACTCACTTTAAACTACATTTCTTTGTTTCAGCTGCACCACACGTTCAAGCTCATGTTTGGGTAAAAAGAACTTTCAACAGCCTCGCTGTTTCCAAAGACTGCGTTCAGATACATGCTTTGATGTGGACAGTATGAAGGAGGAAATGTCAGCCAGCCGCCTCAGGCTCCGTTGAAGTAAACCTGTCCTCCAGAGGAGCTTCAAGTCAGATGACTTAGAGGTGTTTGTGACCTCCGTTGAGAAATCCACGTATCGCTTAACTGGGGAGATTAAAGAGAGAGAGGGCTAAAAGAGCGGATACAGTCTCCACTGTATATCCTGCATCCAGTGATATGAAGACACAGGCAGCTGTAGTGTCCAAAGAGCAGATGAAACCGCTCCCTCACTGACTCCGGCAGAAGGCTACTGTGCTCGGTAGTTAGGCTAATAATGAGGGTAAAACAAAAAGGCTAACAATAATAATAATAAAGGCTGCGGGCTGACGTCATCATGTTTTTCATGTATCTCTTGAATTTAACGTTCTCCTCCTAATAAAGACTTTTTTACTTCAAGCCTTCACATTATGTTACATAATAAGACTTTATCCAGCGTTATTACAGCCTTTCTACTAACGAGGGTTTTGTCAAGCGCATCGGTAGAATCAATTAAGTTCCGCCTGTTGACATTTTGTTGATTGTGTAAAAGCAATCAAAGAGCAGCCATGTGGATTAAACGAGTTAGCAAACATTAGCTGGTGGAAAAGTAAAAGTTAGGACAGCTCAACAGTTCTCCTGAAGTCAGGAGAGTTTATTAAAGATTTTACAAAGTTAGGATGCTTCTGTAAAACACTTTTCCTATCTTTATTTAGGAAAGGAACACTGACTGAGGAACTGTTCATCTGTAACGGCCTTTTTCCTAAACCAGTTCCTAACCCTTGTTACCATTGTAGAGGGACAAAACGCTAGACTCTGGCCCGCTGGAAGTCCAGATCTGTCCTCAATACTTAACAAGTATTGCTGGTAGATAACACCTGGAGTTCGAAAGAAGTTACTGGAGTTGGTCAGAGATCGATTCAATAGAGTTTATTGTCAAAGCAAGACAAAACCCGAGCATGCCTTTGCAGACCGGTAAGTTTTTTAATAAACAATCTATGTCTCCGTAACCGTATGTTCTGTCACAGGTATGGAGATCTATGTCTCTATCTTCTGTCATAGATATAAGGCCCCGAAATGATATAATATCTGGGTACACGATCTTTTCTCCTCTCCCACTGAGTAATATACAAAGTCCTACAATAAATCTCAGATGCATATGCTTTTAGTTGCATGCCCTTTTTGACCCATCCCTATTACACACATTCCACTGAACGCTTATGAGAGGGTCACATCTCTTGGTCCTGTCAACTTTGGTCTTATGCAGAGAGTAGAGTGGCAGCTCAAAGTTCAGTTTAACACTCAGATCTACCTAGGGATGTTACATGCTTATACAAATGTCTGAAAAACATAAGGCACAACATACTGATAGATGATACATTGAATAAATGATACATTCTGGATAAATGAAATGTATTAAGTTGGATAAATGATACATTCTTACTCAACACCATGGTTACCAAGCAGTCAGGATAGGATCTGCTGGTTAGGAAGTTTCTGTAATACGGCCCCTGGAGTTTATCTGATCTGGCTCTCTGAGGCAGAAAGCCCAGAGTTTCCCTCATCTTAGGCTGAACTGACTCAGTTTAACTGATCCTGCTTTGTGAAACGGGGCCCAGGTTGTGCTCCATGTTTGGGGTCTCTGTTCTCTGACTCTGCTTCTTGTCGGCGTCTGCTCTGATTACCCATCTGTGCCACCCGTGCTTCCCTTTGCCAGCCTGTGTTTGTGCTCCCAGCCTGATGAGCTCTCATGTCTTCCTATTGGTTCGTATTTAAGCCCTCAGTTCTGTTCAGTCTTTGTTGTATCGTCATCTGATGCTAGGGTTAGGGTCTGCTCTGCTCCCTGTACTCCATGTCCAGTTTCTGTGATTTGGCTTGTTTCCGCCCTGCTGGATCTTTCTTATCTGGACTCCTACCTGCTCTGCTCCATGTAAGCCTGTTTCATTTATGTTTGATTAAATCACTTAGAACTGCATCCTGTTGTTACCTGCTCCTGCACTCAGCTAACCTGACAGGTTTCACCATCAGTCGCACGTTAAAAGCATCACTAAGAGCACTTTTATTATTAGGGCCCACGTCTGTGGAACCACCTTTCAGCAGAGAACGCTGATATGGGGCACATGACTTATTGTGGAAGACCTGGGTTTGATTCCCACCACAACATCCACCAATGTGACACACACACAAATCTTTATGTCCTAGTTAGTGCATTATAGTTAGTTTTCATCTTGTCCTTTTCCCAAGAATGAGCCAATGTTGTAAAATAAAGATGGAACAAGGGGTTTTAAAATGAAGTGATCTCTGCCCTTCTAATTCAGCAGTTACCCACCCTAAACCCTACGCAGAGTCGCAGTCTAACACACTTCTCTGCTCTTCTAATTCAGGAGTTACTTAGTGAAAATCCTATAGTGACGGTGTCTGCCCCCCGACCATCGAAATTATTTAA